AAAGTAAAGAAAACCTGTCCACGGAAAAAACGAGCAAAAAGTGCTTTTTAGATATTTTGAGGTTTGCCAGTAGGAAACGAGTAATAAACAATTAAGATTAATCCGACACTTAGCTTCAATCTAAGTTGGATGACATCAAAGTTTTTCATCCTACATTTCTTATACCACTCAAATAGCTAAATGAGACGAGTCGTTAACAGCTAGAGTATCCTAACCAGGGTTGCCAAAAAGAAGCGAAAGATCGAGTTGGCCTAAGATAATTAGCCCGAAAAAACTCGTACGGCCCGACGCGATAAAAATGGGCTCGAAAAAATGACTCGAACGTAAGCCCGTCTCGAAAATAGCAACCCTAATCCTAACGAAGGCTCCCAAACCATTCTAAACCCATAATTGACTCAGTACACCCGATTACTGGCAAACCTCAAAACACCAAAAGTGCACACTTTGCTCATTTTTCTCTAGTAACTTATGCCCAAAATAAGAAAAGTTTAAAGAAAAACCTTGCAAATTACTTCAACAACTCTCATCCATTTATATTTCATCCATCAGGCAGGGTGCAAATCTGAAATCTGATGTTGGCACATCAAGAACCTAACTGCCTTCATATGAAATTATCATAGAACATTGTCCGAAGAGTAGAGCAGGAATAAATTTTTGAAAAATTTTGAACTCTAAAAAATGAAAAAAATAAAAGATTAATCAATTGTTATGTATAAGATTGTAGGATGCTAAAGAATGCCCAGAATCAAAGACGAAGATTATTGATTTGAAAGCCTAACCTATGAAAAACAGAAATTTGGGCAGTCTGTTGTTTACAAAAATGAGAAACGTAAGAAATCAAAGAAAAAGAAGCACGCAAAGAAAAAAAATTCTAATTCTCTAGTTATAAACTATCTCTAAAACAAATTATGTTATGCCAAAGTTTATAGTAAATTAAATTCAAAAGTGTCTCCCAATCAATAATTTAAAATATATCTACAGACAAAAAGGAACTACAAGTTCGTTAATCTTAAATTCGTTTTTCGGGAGTTCGAGCTTCGGGACAGGAAACGATTAGAAAATAACTATCAAAAACAATTTTGGGTGGGCAAATTATGGATTTTAGGCTTGAAAAATGTCGTATTCTAATTCGATAATAGAAATGAAAAATTTCAAATTTATTGATTTACATGGAAAATTGGTGAGAGGAAAAACGGGGGAACTTCCACCAACGGATAGTTGTTCAACAAAGAGAAACGCCAGCACTAAGTTCGGCTAGAGGTAGTTTGGTGGGTGTACCCCGACCCGAAATACTAGAGATGTCCGAAACCGAAAATTTTCCAAGACTCAAGACCAAGACAGAAAAAAACCAAAGAAAAGTCTTTGAATCAAGACCAAGAGTCTCGGGCGTCTCTACGAAATCCATGCGGACATTAAAAACATCGTTCACTTTTACAGATAATAAAAAATCGATTTATATCGATACACCATCAAACAAAGTTCATGCTCTAATCCATTCAAAAGAAATCTATTTTTTGAATGGATTTTTTTCCAAAATAGATTTATACTTGTATAAACACAACAAAAAGATTTTTTTAAACCAAAAAACGTCAACAAAAAATCCTTATTTAATCCGGGTACAGCCCAAGTAGCCACGCGGCCATAACGGCACAAAGCCATAACTTGCTTCAAGATTTCCGAATCTTACCAAATTTAGTATTAAACGATTCCTCTCATCAAGTTAAAGAGATTGATACCAAAATTGATAAGGGCCAGAAATTTTCCAGCAAGTTATGGCTTTGCACCGTTATGGCTCTGCGCCTACTTGGGCGTGTCCCAATCGGTTAGACACGATTCCGTGCGCACGATTCCGTGCACACGATTCCGTGCACACGTTTCCGTGCAGGCACGTTTCCGTGCGGGCACGATTCCGTGCACACGTTTCCGTGTCCGTTATAAAAAACACGTTTCCGTGCCCAATTATTTAAATATTTTTATTTTTTTTAAATTTTTATAAAAAAATTTTAAAAGTTATATTTTTTATCAACTTATCAACTTTGCTTCAGTATTTTTCTTTTCAATTCAAAAAATTTACGCGGAAAACTGTTTTTGTGCTGCTACGGAGGGTAGGCCGGGCATGGTCTTCGCTACACGATTTTTTTAAAATTAAAAAAATTTTTTTTGAGATTTTTTCCTCCATATCCACCAATATCCCCTTGTTGATGTCTCGATGTCATGCACAAGTCCCTTGATATTCACTGTACTCCTCAAAACCTTTTCTTATTGTTTATTATATTAAAAAGAAATTGAGCACGGAAACGTGTTTTTTATAACGGGCACGGAAACGTGTGCACGGAAACGTGTCTGCACGGAATCGTGTGCACGGAATCGTGTGCACGGAATCATACCCCACCGTGTCCCAATTACTCCACTCTCCTTAGCAGTATTTGTCTCTTTCAATTCCTCCATTTCTGTATTCAAAGCAATTGTAATTGTTTCTTCTACCAAATCTAATTCCATCTTTTTCAAATCTTTTCCACCTCTCAAAACTAATTTTTCTTCTCTTCAATATCATAATTTTGGGAACGTTGCCGAATTTCTTTGAATAACGCCAATGCACTTTGACGAAGTTCAATATAGAAAAAAGAAGGAAATTTTTAGTGAAGGAATCTTGTTTTTTCAAGCATTACTTTGAACAGTCACAAGCCTATAAAAATGTGACTTACTATTTGTGAGAAAAACAAAACTTTAAATTAACATGGTCTAGCACGGAAACCGGGTATTTCAATAAAATCTGTGTTTTTCGAAGTTGCCGTGGTTCTATCCGGGAAATTCCGGCTCCAGCAAATTTAGAAGAAAAACCACCCGGGTATTGGGCCCAACACGTCAATGGAAATAATATCCTGCGAATATACAGGGTGTTTCAACTAAGAAATACTATTTGAAAACTCAATAATTTTTTACTAAGTCGACAGATTTTATAAGATATTTTGTATTTTATATCTATATTTTATAGCATTTTTTTAGACATAGAAATTATGTCAAAATTCGAACCCTAACCCGAGATAATTTCGTACTCTACCGTTCTGTTTTTCCCTTTTTCCGCACATGCATTCTTACTTCCCTTTATTTGTTGTAAGGGGAGACAGACACTAGAGTAAACACTAGGCGATAGACACTACATTTTCAATACAGTATCCACTCTTCGCCATACACAGGAAAATAAATGAAGTAAGATAGCACACAATGAAAAGAGGGAAAAAAGAGAACGGTAGAGTACGGATTTGAAATAAAGGGTTAGGGTTCGAATTTCGAAAAAATTTTTATGTCAAAAAAAATGCTAGAAAATATAGATATAAAATACCAAATTTCATTGAAATCTGTCAACGCAGAAAAAAGTTATGGATTTTTCAAATAGTATTTCTTAGTTGAATACTTTCTTCCTCAAGGTAGTGTACTTGGCCCTTTGTTATTTGTAATATTTATTAACGATTTACCTGAACATCTGCCTAAGGGTGTTAATGTTAAAATATATGCTGATGATATTAAACTGTATGTAGAACATAACAATGATAACAATAGAAATAAGCTTATAGAATCTCTTTTAATTATTGAAAAATGGGCTAAGAATAATGGATTAAGGATTTCTATAGATAAATGCCTCTGCCTATACATAGGTAAGAATAATGATAAGCAACAATATTTTATAGATGGACAACCAATCAAGAAAGAGAATTGTGTTCGCGATCTTGGAATATTAATAGACACAGATCTATCCTTTTCTGCACATATAACTAAAATTACAAAACAAGCCTATTCAATGATGTATCAAATATTTAGAATATTTAAATCCAAGTATCTTGATAATTTAGTTTTTGTATTTAAAACATATTTGCGCCCTCTCTTAGAGTACGCGACTGAAATTTGGAGTCCCTTAAGAAAAGATCACTTAATTTCGCTTGAAAAAATTCAAAAAATCTTTACCAAAAAAGCCTTTAAACAATGCGGATTAGTTGATAAACCTTATGAAATTAGACTACAAATTTGTAAATTAAAAAAATTAGAGGAAAGAAGAGTACTTGCCGATCTTTGCATGACTTATAAAATACTTAATAATTTCACACATTTGGAACAAGAAAAATACTTTACTCTAACTAAAAGGGCCAAAAGAAGAATTCATCTTTTACAAAATAAAAGATTCACTAGCAAGTCAAAAAATAACTTCTTTGCTCGCATAGTCTCCTTATGGAACAAATTACCTAGGGAAATTGTTGAGATTAGAGATTTAAAAAAATTCAGGGAATATACCAAAAGAATTGATTTACTTAGTCTGTCTGGTACCTAGTGTTTAAAAAAAAAATTTTTTTTTTATATACAAAATATTCATTTTTACATTCAATACTTAATTTTTTATTTATTTTTTCTTAAATTTATTGTATTCACAACTTATACATATTTTGTTTTTTTTTACAATCACTGTCAGTGTACTTTTATTTGTACCTGTGATTGCTGCATAAATATTAAAAAAAAAAAAACACCCTGTATATATGGGAGAGGTGTAGCAAAACCGAAAAGTACCGCAACAATAATTAGCTGCAGCTGTCAATAATATTTCAACAACTGGCAAAGTAATTTTGGCGTTATGTCCGCTGGCTAAATTTTTGTCCTTTCCTTTATCGATTTACGTCAACTTTGTGTCTGTAATGCGCAGCGCGTTTTTTAAGTTTCACGCATATTGGTAATCAAAACAGTGTTTCTCTCTACCTGAATGGTGTTCTTAATTCTTCTTAGGCAATTGTTTTTATATTTTGTTGATTAATTATTGACAGCCGCAGACTTTTTTCAGCAACGATTTACTTTAAACATTTTACCCCCACTCTTATTTTTATCAATACCTATTTATACTAATTTAATTTATTTTATACTGACTAAAGAAAAGTCAATGTCTTCTTATTAATTAAATTTGTACATTATTTCTTACCTTTACACATTCATATAATAATTTTAATAAGAAGTTAAAAGAATGAAGATTCTTTGGGAAAGTAGAAATTGGCCTGGAGCTAGTATTGAACAGTCAATTTCATGTCTCAGTTGGGCTCCATCTTCAAAGGAAGGGAGAGGGCTGTTAAGGTTTTTTTTAATTTTTTTTTGAAATGAGAAACTTTTTTATTTAGCGTCGGTTGTGAAACGGGTTCAGTTGGTGTCACTTACACGGATTTGGGATCTGATCATGATTGTTACAAACGGTTGGTTTTTAATTTGTTTAACATCTCTTATTTGCTTAACTTAGAGACCGGCAAAACCGAACTTTCGGGATCCCGAGGCGGGATTTTTTTCTCAATCGATGCCGTGACGGTATCCCGAGGGATAAATCCCGGATCCCGAATGACCCCAAAAATCCGGGATTTCGGGATCCCGGAAATCCCGTCGGGATCCCGTCCCGCGCCGGTCTGAGAAACTTTTAAAAAATATATGCTGAATATATTTTTAAAATATATGCTGATGATATTAAACTGTATGTAGAACATAACAATGATAACAATAGAAATAAGCTTATAGAATCTCTTTTAATTATTGAAAAATGGGCTAAGAATAATGGATTAAGGATTTCTATAGATAAATGCCTCTGCCTATACATAGGTAAGAATAATGATAAGCAACAATATTTTATAGATGGACAACCAATCAAGAAAGAGAATTGTGTTCGCGATCTTGGAATATTAATAGACACAGATCTATCCTTTTCTGCACATATAACTAAAATTACAAAACAAGCCTATTTAATAATGATGTATCAAATATTTAGAATATTTAAATCCAAGTATCTTGATAATTTAGTTTTTGTATTTAAAACATATTTGCGCCCTCTCTTAGAGTACGCGACTGAAATTTGGAGTCCCTTAAGAAAAGATCACTTAATTTCGCTTGAAAAAATTCAAAAAATCTTTACCAAAAAAGCCTTTAAACAATGCGGATTAGTTGATAAACCTTATGAAATTAGACTACAAATTTGTAAATTAAAAAAATTAGAGGAAAGAAGAGTACTTGCCGATCTTTGCATGACTTATAAAATACTTAATAATTTCACACATTTGGAACAAGAAAAATACTTTACTCTAACTAAAAGGGCCAAAAGAAGAATTCATCTTTTACAAAATAAAAGATTCACTAGCAAGTCAAAAAATAACTTCTTTGCTCGCATAGTCTCCTTATGGAACAAATTACCTAGGGAAATTGTTGAGATTAGAGATTTAAAAAAATTCAGGGAATATACCAAAAGAATTGATTTACTTAGTCTGTCTGGTACCTAGTGTTTAAAAAAAAAATTTTTTTTTATATACAAAATATTCATTTTTACATTCAATACTTAATTTTTTATTTATTTTTTCTTAAATTTATTGTATTCACAACTTATACATATTTTGTTTTTTTTTACAATCACTGTCAGTGTACTTTTATTTGTACCTGTGATTGCTGCATAAATATTAAAAAAAAAAAAACACCCTGTATATATGGGAGAGGTGTAGCAAAACCGAAAAGTACCGCAACAATAATTAGCTGCAGCTGTCAATAATATTTCAACAACTGGCAAAGTAATTTTGGCGTTATGTCCGCTGGCTAAATTTTTGTCCTTTCCTTTATCGATTTACGTCAACTTTGTGTCTGTAATGCGCAGCGCGTTTTTTAAGTTTCACGCATATTGGTAATCAAAACAGTGTTTCTCTCTACCTGAATGGTGTTCTTAATTCTTCTTAGGCAATTGTTTTTATATTTTGTTGATTAATTATTGACAGCCGCAGACTTTTTTCAGCAACGATTTACTTTAAACATTTTACCCCCACTCTTATTTTTATCAATACCTATTTATACTAATTTAATTTATTTTATACTGACTAAAGAAAAGTCAATGTCTTCTTATTAATTAAATTTGTACATTATTTCTTACCTTTACACATTCATATAATAATTTTAATAAGAAGTTAAAAGAATGAAGATTCTTTGGGAAAGTAGAAATTGGCCTGGAGCTAGTATTGAACAGTCAATTTCATGTCTCAGTTGGGCTCCATCTTCAAAGGAAGGGAGAGGGCTGTTAAGGTTTTTTTTAATTTTTTTTTGAAATGAGAAACTTTTTTATTTAGCGTCGGTTGTGAAACGGGTTCAGTTGGTGTCACTTACACGGATTTGGGATCTGATCATGATTGTTACAAACGGTTGGTTTTTAATTTGTTTAACATCTCTTATTTGCTTAACTTAGAGACCGGCAAAACCGAACTTTCGGGATCCCGAGGCGGGATTTTTTTCTCAATCGATGCCGTGACGGTATCCCGAGGGATAAATCCCGGATCCCGAATGACCCCAAAAATCCGGGATTTCGGGATCCCGGAAATCCCGTCGGGATCCCGTCCCGCGCCGGTCACTAGTTTAACTAGCATCTTTTATATTCTTATCAACTCCATTTCAGTTACAATTTTAATCTACGCGGACATCAAAGTTCAATCGCGTTGGTTGCGTGGAATCGAGCACAAACAAAGCTGCTATCCTGTGATGTGAACGGTGTTATTTATCTTTGGGCTCCAAATGAAGAACGTTGGACAGTTGAATTGGTTAATGACAGAGGCTTTAAAGTCAGGGATTTTGATTGGTCCCCTAACGGGGCTTCTGCGCTTATTTGTTATGAGGACAATTTTGTGCTTATCGGTTATTTAATAATTTTAACCTTCAATTTTTTAATTTTTAAAGGTTCATCGACTGGTCAACGAGTCTGGTCAAATACTTTTATTTTTTCCATTCTTTGTGGAGCGTGGGCGCCGAATTCCCAGGAGCTTGTTTTGGGTCTTAACAGTGGATCTATCAACGTGTTAAATGATCAGGGAACGTTAATCACAGAACGTAGCCTATTCCAGGTTGGGGTGCAGCGTGTTGCCTTTTCTTCGATACGAGAAGTTGACAAGAATGGGGATGGAAAGTGGACACTAGCTTGTTGCTCAGTTATTAAATTTTTATTAAATAATAAAATTATTATTTGTTTTGAACAGACTGCTGATCAAATACTTTTTCTAAACACATTTTACGAAGTTGAGCTTGGCTCATGGCAAGCGCCTGACCCTGTGATCTTGATGCGTTGGAGTAATGACGGTACAATGTTAGCTGTTGTTTGCATTCCAAACAGGTTATTTCGAACCTAGAAATGTCAAAAAAATATTTTAATTATTAAGAATTGTTGTGCTCGACTACAACGGTCGTGCTATTCATTCCTTCTCAGCACCCATTCCAAATTGTACACTTTCCGCCTTCACCTGGGCACATAATGATCAAGCAATTGTTGTTGCAGCCAAAGGATGTGTGGCAACTGGCCGAATTGTTCGGAATGTGCCTACCCTTTCTCAACTTGTTTCCTACTCTATTTGGGAATTGTTGGGGCAAAGTTCTAAAAACAGATCACGCTTGCCATTGCCTGAGCGAGAGCAAACGTTAATTTCCCAATTTGATCACCATATCATTCGAGTGAGTAAATGTACCTATTTTCACATTTAAAAAATTTTTTTCAGTGTCGAATTCCAAATATTGGATGTCTCTATGATGTTGTTTGTCGGCCGAGTGCTTGGCGTTGGTATTGCACTATAGTACCTGTGGCTAGAAAGAATCTGTATATGCTCTGTGTTGAGGTTATAAAAATTTTGAAAAATTGGACAAATTTTTATAATTTTATAGCATATGGGCGGATTTGTACCAATTTTGCTCGGCCGTCAAACCAATAGAATAATTCCTCAATTTATCATATCACTGCCGCCGCATTTGTAATTACCTTTTTATTTACGCAATTTCCATTCTTATTCTTAACAGACTAGCCAAATGCAGAGCTGCCGCTCTTCATGACCATGTTACACTTCTCGATGAATCTTTAACGTCCCCAAGTGTTTTACTTAATTCCAATAAAACAGATGAGTCTTTGTTGAACGCATCAAGGTCGTCATCACTAGCGGCGCCAGTTGTTCGACTACAACACCACAATTTGTTAGTTGGGGGTCCTTCTGCTCAAGTCGGTGAGTGCTTTTGGCCTTTTAATATTTCATAGATTGACCTAAAATTAATATTAATCACAGAGGATGTTGGGCAGGATGCCTTTCGTCGTGAAAGTAGCCAACGCAATTCAGTTTGGCGGCGAAGTAAACGCCAAATTAGACGCTTTGTAAATCGACGAATAACTCCACAACGTATCGCCACTTCAATACCTGCTGTTAAAAGAACGCCTCCAACGCTTGTCCATGTAATTTTTTTATTAATGTCATTATGGATTAATCCATTGTAGGTTAATTCCAATGTTTGGTGCACAAGATTCAAGATTAACGCTGCCAGTGGAACCAATTTACCAACACAATTAGCACAGGTTTTCTACAAAACTTCTGTATTACACTTGCAACCACGCCAAATGACTATAAATTTGTGTGATCTTGGCTTGGGTACAAGTACCTCAACAGAAAATCGGCGTGCGAAACGTGAACGGAGAGATCGTCGGCGCTGTGAATCAGCAGCTCGAGGTTTTCTTTCAAACTAAATGAAGATTTCCTGTAAATTTTTCTTTTAGTTCCTCTTGAAGTCCGTCCAGAAAGTCGATGGAAAACTCGTACAGCAATAACTGATGATGAAATAAGTGAAGAAGATAGAATGTTATTTGCACATATTATTTCACAAAACAAAGAAGTATCTACCTTACAACACAAAAATGAGTCAAACAACAATAACGATGAACAGAGATCCAAGAAAGTACAAATTGACAGCCATTTTTGTGAGGGTGAGTTGGATAATGAAGGTGAATATGAGCTCTTGGGAGAACAAAATGGTGAAGAAGAGGATGGATTAATGGATAGTGAACGAGAATTGTACGAAAATGTGATATCCGAGTTTGATGGACTACGTCAAGCTGTTAATACTTATATTCTGGTAGACCTTGTTTATCATAAATTTCCTTTAAATTTCTTCAGAAAATGAAACAATTTGCTACTGAACTTGAACAATCACAATCTGTATCTATTCTGGATGCACCTTCCTGTAATCCAAAACCAATGTCATTTGAAGTCAGTCCAACCACTTCAAAAATACCTGTGGCACCTTCAATTTCCGTTGTTAAAGATCGAAAGCGTCCAGTTGCGGCAAAGATTATGCTGAAGCAACAAAATAAATGCAAAGATCATAGGCCAACTACTTCAACAAGTCTTAGTCCTTCACCAAAGGAGTTGGCACACAATAACCGTCCGAATGTTAGACCTCAGAGTTCACCGGCATCTGGTGTCGAATTGGATGGGTGGCATATACGACTAAAAGAGCTAGAGGTCTGAATAAATTATCAAGTTTTTCGTACTCGGTCGAGATAGAATTCTTATTTTTCAGGGAATTTAGTAATTAACTGATAAAAAGGCAATGTTTCGTTGAAAATTTATTTATTATTTTATAGTTTATTGACGACGATGCTCATCAGCTTTCTACCGGTGATCACCTAACTTCGCGTCCAACCACACTTACACATAATCAGGATTATTCATCCAATGTACCTATTTCATTCTCCCAACAAAGTGATTCAAATATGTTGATGACATATACACCTCTTATGTTGGAATCAACGTTAAATAAGCTTGAGCCTCTTCCCTTAGATCCCCATCAAGATGGCGTTATTGATGCTAACAGTAAAAATAACAGTCGAATCTCTCAACTAAACGATATACGAGCTATTGTAGATAAGGTACACCATATTTTTTTTAACAAGCTGAATATTTAATTTTTTAGCTTTCTCGATTAGCTTCCGAGTTATCTGCCACGCGTCACCATTCGTCAGCAATCCACTCTATGGGGCATTCACAGAACTGCCAACGGTCGGGTACAAAATATGAAATGCTTGAAATTAAACATGATTCCACTGGGCAACCCTCACCGTCAAGCAGTTGTTCGGTATCTGGAGAAGCATCTCGATCAAGTCCTCGTATGCTTTCTCCGTCTGGAAATCGACACAAAAATGTGTCGATTCTAAGAGAGAAAGTCCGAGGAATTGCTCGTCACATAGTTCAATTTGAAGAGGTACTTTCAATTGTAGTTTTTCTAATAGATTTGCACTTATAGTTAATCCGTATCAATGATCTACTTAATGAGATAAGCGGGGATTTACGACAGCGAGTTCAACATATCAAAGTTGTTCTAGGCGAGGATGATGGGAGCGAGGAACATCTGTGCCTAAGCGGTGAACAAGAATCTATTCAAAAAAAGAATTGCGAAAAGGAATTACCGGTCCCAACTAATAGAGGGCGAAATGAACGAGTAAGTTATTTGCCTGTATTTACACTAGATTTAAATTAAAAATTAGCCTACAACTGATTCGCCGTTTGAGCCTTATGCCGAAATTACCGACCAATCAAATCGAACAAAATCTACTTTACAGAAATGCTTGGATGAGCTAGAGAGGAAAAATTCAGGAAATAGAGAAAAGCCCATATCAAGTAAAAGACCAGAGGACCCCGGTACCTCGTCTGGGCCAAAAATGCTTGTTATGACCAACAAGAGACCCTTTTGGAATGAGCAATCGCAAGTTTACCAGGTCTAACCATTTATAATTAAATAGTTAGAAAATCTTTTATTAATTTTAAGCTGGATTTTAACGGCCGAGTCACTCAAGAGTCCGCAAAAAATTTCCAAATTGAATATCAGAATCGGCAAGTTCTTCAGTTTGGGAGGATCGAAAATGGCGCGTACACCCTCGACTTTCGTGAGCCTTTCTCAGCAATTCAGGCATTCGCTATTGCATTGGCTTCGATAACTCAAAGATTAAAATGAAGGAAGTTGTGAAGAAAAGTGTAGTTAGACTAGTCATCAAATACGTGATCAATTTTTCATTTATTGTGTTATGCCAGTAAATTGCCCTTATAAATAAATATCTTATTATCCTTCGACAAATTTTTCGTGAACTTAAGCTCTCATTACTTAATTATAATATAAAGGCTAAAATTAGAAAGGAGAATATCTCTAACTTTATTCAATAGTTGGGTTGAACCCTACTTTCGTTTTCCGTAACTCCAAGTGTAGCTTTCGAACTAGGGTATTTATATGTGGTCACAAAAAACAAAATGGATCAACCTTAATAGAACTTCAACAAATTCAGATGACCGTTTATTTATAACAACTCTTAAATATTCTTAAAACCCCCAATTAAAAATAACATCTATCAAAAAAATATAGCCTATTTCAATCTTTAATTAATTTCAAATTGACTTCTCCAACAAAACTTCCATTTTCTTAATTTTGGAAGCCATTGACAGGTCAACATATTTGTCATCAATAGTAACCACCATCCCTCCAATAAGACTTGGCTTCACTCCAAAAGAGATATTTAATTCCTGTCCGGCATTAGCAAAACTTGCAAGAGCAGTTCTCAATGATTGTTCTTGCTTTTTGTTTAATGGCTAAAAATCAGAGTTGTTAAAACAAAATAAACTAAATTTGGACTTACTTCTGCACTAGTCACTTCAACTTGCAATTCATTGCGATGCGCACGCATTATAGTTTCGAAGGAATTGATGATAGACGAAAGTTTAACGAGTCGACCACTTTCAGTCAGGAGAACTAAAATAAAGTTTACAAATTAGATTTGTACCCGGAAAAAATTTTGAAGGCTTTACTCAAAGTGCAATCGAGCTTTCGAGAAAGTAAGTGAAAAAATCGAAGTTTTTGAATTTTTGACCACAAAAATAAGATTGGTGCTTGTGTTTCGATTTTCAAAGGGCCTGTATCATAGTTGCTTCCGCTGCCTAATTTTGGTACCGTTCGAATGATACATAATTTGTAAAATTCTAAAAATTGCGGAGCCCAAAACCAGGCCATTAGTAAAGTCAGACCATTATTACATATAAAAATCAAACCAAAAAAGTTCTGGACAGTTTTCGACATTCCTTGATTCTTCAGAACAGCTTGGATTGCATCCGCTTTCTTTTGTTTATTCAATATTGGATTTTCAACGAACAACTAAAAAAATTATTTTATAAATATTCCCATTATAAACAAACCTTAAAATCATTGTTTGTGTCATAAAGCACCTTCAATTGACTCAAATCCTTCTCAATTTTGTCCAAACTTTTTTCCTTCATCCCAGAAGAATAGAGAGCCGAAGCATATTTTCCTTCAATGCCAGAAACTTGAACGGGTGGACGAATTACTTGAAGTGCACTCGCAGAAATAGCAAAAGAACGTTTAAAAAGAAAATTAACAGAATTCGTCAACATAATTAAGAGAGAAAATATTTACGTTCTTAAATCTTAAAAAGCTCGATTAAAATTTTAATGGACGAGTTTATAAAGGTTATGGATCGAATTGGAGTGCGGACGGGACAGGATCCCGAACGGGATTTTGCGGGATCCTGCCCCGAAATCCCGTATTTTAGGCGACGAATGGGATTATCGGGATTTACAGGATTAATCCCGCGGAATCCTGACCGTAAAAATTTTGAAAACTAATCCCGTTACGGGATTCAGGGAATGCGATTTTCCCGCACTCTAGATCGAGTATAGCCCAGACTCAACCGGCGGGACTCAATAGTCTTTTTTCTAAAAAATAAATGTCATTGTGTAATTTTCTTTTTGCCTATTTACCAATTTGTCAGTAAAGATAAATTTAACTATTTAGTCGAAGCATTATTTTTCTTTTAACAGAGAAAATCTAAAATTTAGAGATCAAGATCGCAATCCCGGGACCCCGAAATGGAATTGATTTTGGACTCTTCGAGGGCCCAATCTTAAAAATAGAAGAAAATCAGGATTTTGGGTAGTGATCCACAAAAACTAGATCCCTTTCCGACCTCTTCCAAAAACCTCCAAACATTTTCTGTAAATTTCGATTAATCATTTCCTCGATTTTTATAGACTGGGTGTCATTTATTTAAATAATTTAGATAAGTTAAAAGTTGATCATAATGGTACGCATGAATGTGCTTGCTGATGCTTTAAAGTCTATCAATAATGCTGAGAAGCGTGGGAAGCGACAGGTTTATTTAAATTCCCAATTCTTTTATTTTTATTTCTTTTTAGGTAATTATTCGGCCATCTTCCAAAGTAATTGTTCGTTTCTTGACTGTTATGATGAAGCACGGCTATATAGGCGAGTTTGAAATTGTTGATGATCATCGTGCCGGTAAAATTGTTGTTAACCTTACTGGACGTATCAACAAGTGCCAAGTCATCAGGCAAGTTTATTTTAAATGCTAGAGAGAATATAGGGGCATTTTGATTTACCACGGCTCACAATCAATCTCGCAGAATTTATAAATGGGCTCATGAAACTCGATTTAAACAATTTTTTCTGATTTAACGCGTTTCGCGTTAAATAAGCAGCTTCTGTAATACTTAAAAGCGGTAATAATTTGTTCAGAATCACCAAAACTAGTGTAGCATTTGATCGAGCTTGAAGACAGGGTCGAGTAGTAAAGATAAATTAGATCAAACAGAATTCTCAAAATAGTCAGGAACTAGAGGGGGGGTTCTAAATCAAAGTATTATCAAAACTTTTTCTTATTTTTTTTATTTGTTCAGTCCACGTTTCGACATTCGTATGGCTGATTTGGAGAAATGGACGAGCAACTTGTTGCCATCTCGTCAATTTGGATTTCTGGTGTTGACCACTTCTAGTGGAATTATGGATCACGAGGAAGCTCGAAGGAAACATGCTGGTGGGAAGATTCTCGGATTTTTCTTTTAAGTGATGTTTGTTCGACTTTTCTTTGTTGCTGTTATTATGGAATAAAAGTTATGTTGTTATAAGTTAAAGAACAATAATTAGAAGTCCATGACCGATTTTAAAACTGGGAATTTTAACACTACTCCCACATAGGATCTTGAGCGTCAAGTTTCAAGCGTTCTATTCCGTGCTTTTTTCTTTCTATGTAGGAGAGGCACGTGCAACTCGACGCTTGACACGGATGTCTATGTGGGAGGATGCGCCGAAGATTACTGACGCTTGACAAAACGCTCGCGCTTAATACGGATGTCTATGTAGGAGTAGCTTAAGCACCCGCGAATTTTTGAAAATGAGAGATTCTTTTAAATTCTCCCATAACAAAACCAGATATCTAACTGAAACCAGTTAAAATTTTGGTAATGAACAACCTTAGTTACAAAAACAATACAAAAAATGTCGAATAGTATCAACGATACTAGGTGGAACAGACAAAAAATCTCAACTAGACAAAACTGACCAAAATTTTATTAAAGAATGTGAAATAAGTCATTTCTTTTTTGATTAGAAATTTAAAAAGTAATATAAAAAATCTATATATTTAGTCATCAATTGTAAGATCTTTAAACAGCGGAGCCATTGCTTAAAAAATTAATTTAATAAAATTTTATTAAAAAAACAAACATTCATTGTTGTATATTCGTCGGATTGCTTCACAAAGCAAAAGTGAAATGTCAACAGTTTTGATTTTGTGGCAACGCTGCTTTTGAATTTCATGTGGAACTGTGTTTGTCACAATTATCTGGTGATAGAAAGGGAAATTTGGAATTTTGTAGTGTTTTACTTCTGACAACTAAACTAAATTTATAATCAAGTTAACCTAAATAGAGAATATTATAGAACTTCCCCCACCCCAGAGGTGGGTCGGAGTTCCGATTTTCAACGTTTTTTCCTTCCGATATCGAAAAAAATTTGACTTCCGACTTTTGAGCCAGTTCCGATTTCCGACACCTCTGACTGTTCCGACCCACCTCTGCCCCACCCCTATAATCAACCAAGTTTTCAAAAACAAATCTCAAGTTGGTTGGAGTTATCTCATAGCGAGGGCCATTTTTCACGAAACCAACCCAAAAATGTTTATTTATACCTCATCAATCGGCGATGCCTCAAGAAGTGATGGCGCATCGAGTGAAAGCAGTCCGTGTGTCGCAACTACATAAATTTTTTTAGCTCCACGAGCTTTCAAAACCTTTTTTTTTTAAATTTTTATTCCAAAATAAACAAACAAACAAAACCTCTGCAACAGCAACAAATGAATGAGCATCGTCAATAATATCATCCACAATTATCGCAATTTTATTACTAACATCCCCAACAACAGTAAGGGGAGGTTTGTCTTTTGGAACATTTGGAGGAAGAAATTCATAAGTAACTCCAAGTGAAGCTGTTGGAGGACTTTGACGGCCATCCTCTCTCCCACTCTCTTCATCTACTTTTTGTTCTCCATGTATTACAGCTATTCCTTAAATTTGTTTAGATAAAAATTGTATTGAAGTTTCTCTTTTACAGCTGAAACTCTATTATGAAAATCTTGGGAAAAACTTGAGCTGACGCAAAAAGGGAAGTAATTTTGAAGGCGATGTCTTAATAGAGAGCTCTGACAGTTTTCCATACAACTTTTAGGATCTCAATGTTTGAATTTTATTAAAGTTAGAGTTCGAAATTAGAGTTATAGAGTTCCTTATAATTAGAGTTTGAAACTGGGTCTGGACCGGATTTTACGGACCCTGAAGCTCTTAAACCGAGTATTCTAATAAATCCGGTTTAACACGAAACGGGCCAGTTCGAAGGAAAAAAACCGAATACCGGGCCTAGCAATTTGAAAATGTTGAACTTTAATTAAACCCAATTTCTATACCCAAATATTTGCCTACAATTTAAGATAACTTTAAAATCTGCTCGAAAAGAAAAAATCCAAAAACTAGCTAAAAAATAAAAACCAAGTTTTAGTCGATCAGTGTAAGAAGTTGCTTTATTCATCACTCCCGGATTCTTTGCTACAATAACAGCATCTTTATAATCGGGAATATTTCCAATAATATAATGTAAAAGGAATGGAGAAGCACGTAAATTATCTACAGGAATTCCAAAAAAGCCCTGTATCTCCTTTCGATATAAATCCAAAGAAACAACACGAGAAGCACCTAAAAATAAATTTAAAAAATAATTTTAAATTTAAAATACCAGCTTTGCATATCATATCGGCTACTAATTTCATCGGAACAGAAGAACGTCTAAACATTCTACATTGTTTGCTGTAAGGCATGTAAGGTAAAACGACAGTAATTGTTCTAAAATTTTTTGTTAGAATTTTATTACTAACATCACCAACAACAGCAAGGGAAATTTTGAGATTTTCTATCATAAAATCGACCTTTATTTTTAGATAACCTCTTTGGGTAGAAAATTCGTCTCATGTAAAATGAAAGTCCTTAAATGAAAGGTGCCGCTCAGCTAGGCAACTCAATTTACCCATTGAAATCTTAAATTGAGGTATACCTAAAATAGAGGGTGTTCTATTGTGTTTATACAAATTTACTTAAAATCTTTACTAACAAGGAGAGGTATCTTGCCAGATCAAAAAACGGGCAAAAACGGTACAAAATCCTTGCTAGAAAGGGCATATTATCTATAGAATGAGCCAGATTTCGACCGTTTTTAGGTCGGACACCTCGCAACCTCTCCTTGTAAAAAACTCTGCTTACTTTGCCATTGATGTTTTGCAAGCATATATCAAAATAAGCATTTCCATGACATTATTATTAACATTTCTAAATTTTAAATTAAAAGTTAGATTTAAAATATTTTAATTACTTGTTAGCAGTTTGGAGAATAAATACATGCTTCCCTCTAACACTTTGTCTTATATCGACAGCAGTTTCTATAATTAAGTAAAGCAGCTGGGCTATAGCTATTTCTCTCCTTTAGCTAGAGCAAAAGGTTATTCGGCGGCTGGGAGCGAACCAGCATCTTCAGTAGACCGGACTGATGTGTTAGCCATTACACCACGCCGCCTACTGCTCAGCCTTAGGAAATTAATAGCTATATGCTTTACAATTATTTAAAAAAATTTTTAAAGAAATCTTCAAAAAAACCTTTATTTGCCTGATTTATAACAGTTGCATCACAAAGAGAAATGCCCAACTTCCTTTAAAAAACAAAATTTTATTATTTAAATTCTTTACTCTGCCAAAAGTTGAGCTAATTCTGGATGGGAATTTCCAGTCAAAAGAACCATTCCAGTGTTAGCATCTGTTTGTGCCATTTATTTTTAAAATATTTGAAATACAAAAGAACTTTCAGTCTAAAAAATTAAAATTCGAAACTTATAAAAAGGCACGACTCGAGAACAGCTGATTGACCCGTCTGCGATTAATCGGCAAGGGACAATCAGACGCCCTCTAGGACATGCCTGGTCATTTGATTTTATTTAATAAATTAAAAAACGGAATAAGTAGGCTTTATTACCAATACACTCTGAAACCCAAAAGCGTTATAGGCTAAACTCAGACCAAGACATTAACGTTACTGACAAATCTACGCTTAATTCAATCTTCTTAAAACTACTTGTTGTAAAAAGCTAAATCCTTTTCTTTAAGGAAATACCCTTTTTATTGCATGTTCAAAATCAAAGAAAAAATATTCTGTTGATTTAGATATAATTTATCTTTTTAAGACTGAAGGGAAAAATTAGCTCTTTTAATGCCATATCAAATTCAAATTAAATAAAAAAATATATTAATGAAAATTCAATGATCAAGGTTTACATAAAAACTACAAATTTTTACAAGTCATTTAAAATATATATAATTTATATCACATTACCCACATTTAAATTAGTCTAAAAATTCATTAAACCTCTCATCATTCAAGCCTGTCCCATAGATTTCAAGTTTTCAGAAATCTAAATAAAAAATAAAATCGAAATTTAAAAAGAAAATTAAAAAACCTTAAAATCGCAGTCAGTTGCCTGGACAACATCCTCAACAGAACAATCACTATAAACTTCCACAAGAGTCAATCCATTTATTTTGTCTACATCAAAAACTGCCTAAAAAATTAATTAAATAATGTTCTTTTAATAAACCTTTTCAGTAATTATTTTCGACACAACATTCTTTCCTGTAAAAAGACATCCCTTTTTATAAATATATTCTCTAACTTAAAAACCTGTCAAAGGGAGTGTACACTCATCTAAAATTTTCGGTGTACCATCTTTAGCAGTATGTTCCATTGTGACAACAACTTTCGAACCTGGAGCAGAAATCTGTGATTTTATAAAATATATTTAAATAGCCGGCAAATTTTAAATTTTTTGACACCCTTCTTCTGCTTTCCCACTTCCCTTAATAAATATGACATTGAGTTCCAGACCGATACATTTAGAACTTTTGATTGATTCAGTTATCAAAGGCATAAAGAGGAATCCGGATAACATATTCCACTCTAATCCTTAGATAACGCTTGAATAATTAAATGATCTCACCAAATCCATTGCTCCGCCCATTCCTTTAACCATTTTGCCGGGGATCATCCAATTTGCAAGATCTCCATATTGTGATACTTGCAAACCTCCCAATAATGTCAAGTCTATATGTCCCCCACGTATCATAGCAAAAGATTCATCCGAACCAAAAACAGAGGCGCCAGGTAGAAAAGTGATTGACTCCTTCCCAGCATTAATTCTATCAGGATCTTCCTCTCCCGGTTTTGGATATGGGCCCTAAATAATTTTTAAGAAAATTAATTTTTATTTGATAAAAAAAACCACGCCAATAACACCATTTTCGGATTGAAGATGAACACTTATTCCTTTTGGTAAATAATTAGGACAAAGAGTTGGAATGCCAATCCCAAGGTTTACTTTAAAAGAGAAAAATTTATACAAAAATTTTCATTTTTTAATTTCATACCATACATTCCATCTTGAAATTCCAAAGCTGCCCGACGAGCAATTATTTCTCTGACATTATCCAACTGGTCTGTACTTTTATCTTTCTTTTCAGATGAATCGTTAAAAATTAGTTTTTCGAAAGGCTTTTTATATTTTTCCCCAACAACAATTCGGTGACAGTAAATGGAAGGCACATGAATCTAAAAAATAATTATAAATGCCACGGCGTAGCCAGGGGATCAATTTCGGTGGGTGGTGTGCCAAAATTTTGGCGTTCCGGACGCAAATCCCACAGGCTACGCCCTTGAAATATGCTTAATGTTAAAGTAAAAATTCACCTCCTCAGGCAAAATCTGACCAACTTCAACTAGTTCTTCAACTTCAACAATTGTGCACTTACTTGCTTTACACATCGGAATATTAAAATTTGCAGCAGTTCCCCTTAATTAATTGAGAAAATAAAAATTTAAAAAATACTTGAAGACAAGATTTCCAAGTTTATCAGCCTTCCAAGCCTTTATTAAAGAGAAATCGCCACGAATTGCATTTTCCAAAACATAATTAATTCCATTAAAAGTTCTTGTCTAGCAAAAAATATTTTAAAGAAAAATGTTAAATGATAAAGAAAAACCTCTTTTGATCCACTAGCCAATTCAACTTTCCCTTTTTCTGTGGAACTATATTTAATTGGAGCTCCACCCGTCTGGATAAGTGTCCCATAACCAGTTGGTGTATAAAATGCAGGAATTCCGGCACCCCCAGCACGTATCCTTTCCGAAAGAGTGCCTAGAAATAATAAGACCTAAAAAACAAACTCTCTTTACCTTGTGGTGTAAACTCCAATTCTAATTCTCCAGCCAAATATTGCCTTGCAAACTCAGCATTTTCCCCAACATAAGAGGAAATCATTCTCCGTACTTGGCCTGACTTTAACCTTAAAGATATAAAACAAGTAAAATTATACAAAAGCTTAATCACAGCAATCCAAGTCCAAAATCGTCAACTCCAGCATTGTTACTTACACAGACTAAACTGTCAACACGGCTATTCACAAGTGCAGAAATAAGGTTTTCAGGGATTCCACAAAGACCGAAGCCTATAAACAGATTAAATTAAATTTAAAAAAATTAAAAAAAACCTCCAACTAAAAGAGTTGCTCCACTTGGAATATCACGAATGGCATCAGCGGCACTAGGAAAGATTTTTGGATTTTTTTGTAAAGTTGCATAGAATCTATATTGCAAAAAGTCATTCTGAAAAAATAAAAGAAATAATTAAAAAATAATTTAAAAAAAACCAGTATTGGACGAAAGGAGAGATAAAGTGAAGAACGCCAGAACATGAGCACGTATAAAAATTGGCAATATAATTTTACAAAATTTGAAGTTAAGTAAAAATACCGGCTAAATTTAAAAGAAAATTAATAATAAAATGAAAAAAAACATGCACAAAGCTAATAATAGGCCAAGATTTGCTCTAAAATGCCTAGCGATTATTTGGTAAGTCCGCGATTACTTACATATAGCAAAATTTCGGTACACCTCAATTGAGTCCCGGACCCTATAACTTATGAAGGGATGGTCACTTTTTTTTGCTCTTGGTACCATTGGATAGGGCATTAAATAGGCTACAATATACCAAAAAATTAAAATTCCTGACCGAATGGTAAAATAGTTATGATCGATAAAGTGCCGAAAAATCAGATTTTTTTGAAAAAGTTAGTTTTTAGATCATAACTTTTTTATCAGTTGGTCAAAAATTCTGATTTTTTGGTATATTGTAGTCCATCTAATGCTCTATCAAAAGGTACCAAAAACATTAAAAATCATCAAACCGTACTTGAGTTATAGGGCCGGGACTCAATTGAACTGCTCCGGCAAAATTTTCGTTCATTTTTCCCTTCGCGATTAAATGGCTTATTCTCGGGTACAGCCCGAATAGTCGCGCGGCCAAAAGGTCACCAAGCCATAAATTTTTGAATCTTTCTAAATTTAGTATTAAACTATTACTCTCATCGAGCTTAAGAGATTCATATCAAAATTGATAAGGGCCAGAAATTTTCCAGCAAGTTATGGCTTGGCGACCTTATGGCCGCGCGACTATTCGGGCGTGTACCCCCATATTCTCTAACCGTGTCGAAACAATGATCTTTAATCTTTTGTCGTTCTCGCAGTAAAATAATCGCGAATATTGTCTTGTCAACCAATTTTAAAAACTTTAATCACAATTTTAAGTTCTAATATTTTGTTTTCTAAAGATGGCTGCAGCAGCTGTAGATGTTAATAAAGCAATTACTGGGGACAAAGCCGCTCCAATTCGTAATTACAATACACAGCCCCATCTAAGTTTGTATTAATTTGAATATTTTTTGTTTAATATTTTTTAGTTTATAAAACGGTTACTGGAGTTAATGGCCCGTTGGTCATTCTGGGAGATGTGAAATTTCCACAATACGATGAAATTGTTCGTTTAACTTTACCTGATGGAACGAAACGGACTGGGCAAGTATTGGAGGTTACAAAGGACAAAGCTGTTGTACAGGTATATTAGTTAAGTCTTTGAAGGTTTGCCTTTTAAATTTTAGGTTTTTGAGGGGACATCAGGAATCGATGCTAAAAACACTATATGTGAGTTTACTGGCACAATTCTTCGAACTCCTGTCTCGGAAGATATGCTTGGACGGGTGTTCAATGGTTCTGGAAAGCCAATTGATAAAGGGCCAAATGTGCTAGCTGAAGATTATTTGGATATTAACGGCCAGGTATTTCTCATATAGCATCAATAAAATTTCTTTTAAAGCCTATCAATCCTTGGTCTCGAATTTATCCCGAGGAAATGATTCAAACTGGAATTTCTGCAATTGATGTGATGAACAGTATTGCTCGCGGTCAGAAGATCCCAATTTTTTCAGCTGCTGGATTGCCCCATAATGAAGTAACTGAATTAAATTTCTCTTAACTTATTTTTAGATTGCTGCCCAAATTGTACGACAAGGAGGACTTGTCAAATTGCCCAATAAAAAGCATGGTGGAGAGGAAGGGGAGACTGACGACTTTGCTATCGTTTTTGCTGCAATGGGTGTAAACATGGAAACAGCACGATTCTTTAAACAAGATTTTGAAGAGAATGGCTCTATGGAGAACGTTTGCCTCTTTCTCAATTTGGCCAATGATCCAACGATCGAGCGAATAATCACGCCTCGATTGGCTTTGACTTGTGCGGAATTTCTGGCTTATCAGTGTGGCAAACACGTCCTTGTCGTACTTACAGACATGTCTTATTATGCTGAGGCGTTGCGTGAAGTCTCTGCTGCTAGAGAAGAAGTACCTGGACGTCGTGGGTTTCCTGGATATATGGTATGTGAATTGGACTCAGGCCCGTAGCCAGGGGGAAGCTGCCCGAATTTTCCCCCCTTGGCCCCCTCCGAAAGAATAGCCTGGCTACGGGCCTGATTGGACTAGTAATCTATCTTTTTATTTAGTACACAAACTTGGCGACTATTTATGAGAGAGCTGGGCGAGTAGAAGGACGAAAGGGTTCTATTACACAAATTCCAATTCTCAGTATGCCAAACGACGGTTTGTTAGATGCCAGGTTTCTTTCCCTTTTAAAAACATTTCTTTTAGATATTACTCATCCAATTCCGGACTTAACTGGATATATCACGGAAGGACAAATTTACGTCGATCGACAACTTCACAACCGACAAATCTACCCACCCATTAATGTGCTCCCTTCACTTTCCCGATTAATGAAATCGGCTATAGGAGAAGGTCTTTTATTTAAGAATATTTTTAGAAAAATTTATTTTTTGTAGGAATGACTCGTGAAGACCACGCTGATGTATCCAATCAACTATATATGTGCTATGCAATCGGTAAAGATGTTTTGGCTATGAAGGCTGTTGTCGGTGAAGAAGCTCTTTCTTCAGATGATCTTCTTTATTTGGAATTTTTGACAAAATTTGAAAAGAATTTTATCTCACAGGGTTATTTTATTTTTAAATTTATTTTAAATATTTTTGTAGGAAATTATGAGAACAGAACTATTTTTGATTCACTTGATGTTGGCTGGCAACTTTTGCGTATTTTTCCAAGAGAGGTTTTTTAATTTGATTGAATGAATTTTTATTTATTTTTAGATGCTTAAACGAATTCCAGCCAAAATTCTTGATAAATACTATCCGAGGGGTGGGACAACTTCAGTGAACAAAGAATAAGATGCTTATACTAAAAGAATCGAGAAAGGGACTAAAATTAGTTTTTTCTATTAAAAATTCCTTAATATTCAATAATTCCTTATATTCTGTGTAGGACAAAACATATTTCTCTTATGATAAAATTTTAATAAAGGTATATTTTAGAGAACATTTCTAGATGAATTTCCCCTGAACTTGTGTAAATCAAATCAAAAATAATTCCAAAAACTGGATGAAAGTTCAAAGCAACATATTTCCACTTCTTTTAAATAAAAACTTCCTATCCAACTATTTATCTTTATGAGCTGAATAAACTTGACAAACAATGAATACAATTTAAATTTCTAACAAAAAATATTCGACATCTAATCCTATTAAAAACTTAAGCCAACTCGGTCTTGTCTTCAGGCTTGTAGTTCTTCATAAATTTAACTGCCTTCTTAAAATATAAAAATTTTGTGAATTCTAATAAATGTCAAAAAAGAAATTTATATGGTTTTTAAGGCATAAACTAGGTAAAATTATGTTATTCGAAAATGCTAATCAAGCTGTCATGAATAAGTCGATAAACACCGAGAATAAGCAGGGGACTCCGATTTTTAGCACTTTAGTAAGGTCGTCGTTGAGCTCACCGACCAATTTTGGCGTTATCTACCCAGCTCAATATGACCCCTTTCGAATGACACTTTGATTACGTTTACGTAAAGCTCCTTAAACCAAATAAATTCCAACAATTTTTTCAACTATACCGGATCAAGATAGTTTGCTGGAATAACATAGCCTGACATGTTCCACCGACCAATCTGCTCTCCAACAAAAAACCAAAGGAAAACCTCCAAACCAACAAAAGAATAAACCAAGAATTCCTTAAAAATGAGATTTATTTTTAATAATTCTTTTTATTTTTTAAGGAATTAAGGCAATTAACATAAGAAAAAATATCCAAGTTACCTTGACTTTTAAGTCGCGATAAGCCTCAGTCTCGATTTTTTTGACCAAAAGTGCAAAATCTTGTTTGATCTTGAAGGATTGTAAAAAATCAACAAAATTCTCAAATAAACCTGCGGCCAATCTTTCGGCGTGGGTGGAGCCAGTTCACGTTCCCAAACCTTTTTAAGCATTTCCATACGACGCGGCCCTTTTTGCACAACGTGGTAACGATATAAAACAGCAAGATTTCTTACAAGCTTCTCCAACATAGTTGGCTTTGATGTAGCCATTGAATATTTTATAATTTGTTATCTTAAAACTAAAAAATTCAAATAAAACTTTTTTCAAAGATACGGCTTCATAATTGGACTAATCTGAATATTCTACAAAAGGCTAAAGCTGAAAACCAATTCTTCCACTAATTTTTCCTTGTAGAATGCTCAAATCAACCAACCTAGACATAAAAAAGATACTTTATCTCGAAACTTTGAATCATAAAAAGAAAATTCTTGAAATATTAAAAAACAAAAAATTATGGCCTAGAAATCGCTGCACTGAACCAGCTACTCTGAATCGTCCCTTGCCCTTTAAAATGGTAAATCTGTTTAAATATTTCAATTGGTTAATTCTTAAAAAATCCAAGTGACATTTAATCCTTTTTATCAGTTGATATTTATTTAATTACTTTTTAAGATTGTGTGAGAAGCAAGAATGACTAATAAAGGGTTTTCCCTATTTTCGCCCAGAATTCACGTATATTGGATATTTTCGGTTTACGGGTATTGAATCAGAATATCTCAAGATAATCATTTTCAGATAATTTGCTCAATTTTACATTTAACTTTTTCATTATTTAATTAACTTATATTTACTTTTAAATTTCAATGTCTTCGCCCGTTAGACAAATTAAATGTGTTGTTGTAGGGGATGGTATTTAATTTATTATTTTTAATCAATTATTTATTTTTAGGTACTGTTGGGAAGACTTGTATGCTTATTTCTTACACCACAGATTCTTTTCCAAGGTTTTTTTTTTAATTTTTGCTTTAATTAAATTTAGAAATTTAAAGAGAATATGTTCCAACCGTTTTTGACAATTATTCGGCTCCAATAACTGTTGACGGCCATTCTGTTAATTTGGGGCTTTGGGACACTGCCGGACAGGTTTTTAACGTTAAACAAAAATATTTTAAAAATAATTCAAGGAGGATTATGACAGATTACGGCCTTTAAGTTATCCTCAAACGGATGTTTTTATTCTCTGCTTTAGTGTAGTCTCTCCAGGTTTTTTCAATTTTAAAATTTTATTAGAATTTTTTAGTTTCTTTTGATAATGTAATAACTAAATGGATTCCTGAAATTAGGCAATATTGTACTGAATCCATTCCTATTGTTCTTGTTGGTTGGTTTTTACTTTTTTTTAATTTGGTGGTTTAAAAATCTTGATTTGATATGGTAGTGCGAAACTTGCGGACCGACTTTTACGGACCATAGGTTTAGGTTTTTGTTTTTCTATCGTAACTTTGTCCAAGCTTGTACAATCACGATGATTTTGATGTCATTCGATTCAGCTCGTCGAGCTCTTTCGAATGAGCTATGTTTTGAGAAATTCGTCGGGTCCGCAAGTTTCGGTCCGCAAAAATCGGTCCACAAGTTTCGGCCTGCCTTATTTATTACCTTGACCCTGTTTTCTTTTTCTCATCAATTCTCTTTTGCAGTTAACTATCAATCATTCAAAAAAGGGTAATTTTATTCAGCAGATTCATAATTATTGTAACAGAAATTAAGGGTTGGTGGTTTTTGAAAAATTTAGGATATCTGATACCGAACCGAAAAATCCTCGAATCTTCAGTTCAGTTCCGAACCAAACTCTACCTATAAAATTCAAAATTACCAAAAATTCCTATTTTTCTTCAAAATATTTTTTGGATTTTATAGAAAAAATTTCAAAAATATATTCCTCGTTTCAGGTACAAAAATCGATCTAAGAGACGATCCTGCAACTTTAAGGGCGCTACAAAACGAAAAGAAAACAGTAATTTCCCGAGCACAATGCCAAAAAGTAGCTGCTAAAATCAAAGCTTATGCTTATTGTGAATGCAGGTTTTCCTTCCTTTATTTTTTTAATTTTTTCTAAAATTTTTTAAAGTGCTTTAACCCAACAAGGCCTTCCTAGTGTTTTTGAAGAAGCTGTTCGGGCAGTAATTGCTCCACGGCCAAAAAAGAGGCGAAGATGTTCGGTTATTTAATTTGTTGGGGAAAATAAAAGTAAAGTAATTTTATTTTTTATTTAATTCAAGAAAAACGATATTAAAAATATTTTTATTTTAAAAATTACCAAAAAGTTTTGTGTTTTTGCCTTTTATCCTCTTTTGCCTTTAAACTAAAGAAATTATTGTTTACTTGAAAAACTTTAGCAAGGAGAGGTTGCGACTTTGGAGGGCCATATCTTGGCAAGATCAAAAAACGGCTCAAAATCCTTGCTAGAAAGGGCACATTCTCTATCGAATGAGTCCGGTCTTGACCGTTTTTAGGTCGGACACCTCGCAACCTCTCCGTGTAAATATATAAAAAGTTGCTGGATAAATAATTAATGAAATAAATTTAAAAAATATTTATTCCCGACCCTAGCAACTTTTTATATATTTTTTAACGAAAATTTAAATTATCTCAATTTTTATTTGTTTTAAATTACTTAACATATCCGCCATTTAATTTATCTTGTGCTTTAACAAATAAATTAATTATTTTTCTTTTTTTTTAAATTTAACTAAAAATAATAAATGAAAGAAGGGACATTTTAACCTTTAAAGGAGAGGTCGACCTTATAGGAAAGGTCGGCCCTATTAAAAAAGATACAGCTTCTTATGGGCTTTAGAATAATATAAATTCATATGCATTGGATCCAGAGGTGGGTCGTAATTCCGATTTCCGACGTTTTTTCCTTCCGTTTTCGAAAAATATTTTGATTTCCAAGTTCAGACTTTTGAGCCAGTTCCGATTTCCGACCCCCACCTCTGATTGGATTAAGCGACAAGAAGTTATAGCCGATCAAATTCGACTGGCACTCAGATTGCGGGTGTATAATGGAAAAGTACCTACTTTTTAGGACTGGTCGAGCTTTGATAATTTTTATTAAAATTCTGAAAAAATTGTTGACTAAAAATTAATCAGTTAATATGTAATGTCGGCAAAATATTAAAGACAAAAGCTACAAAAACAGAACTGCGAATATTCTTTTGTTCTTTGGCCTCTTTTCTACTGTCCATTAATTGCTTTTAATTAAACAAAGTTGGCAACAGTTGTTATTTTTCCTTTACCAAAGAAAAAAACATTTAAAATAAATCAATCTTCTTTAGGGGATATATTTACATTAAAAGCCAATATAAAAAGTTAAGAATGTCTGAGTAGTGTGTGTATTTCATTTTTAATTCACCATTTTTATTTGCAATCAACTTTTTGAACGTTAATTGGTTTTAGAATTGACTAAGCCTAAATTAACACTTTCATTTTTATGTTTTCCCTTTATTTTTTATTTTATTTATAAGGAAGGATAAGAGTGTTGTGAATAAAAGTTTAGTTTATGAGTTACAAAGAAATGAGTTGAGACTGATATTAAAGAAGCAAAAAATGTTACATAATAGGTCAAAACGTTGATAGGTCAATCAATGTAGAAAAGGAGAAAGTAATGGAAATTTTTCATTTCTGAGGAAAATAGTTATTTTTGTCTCGTCCAATATGTTCCGGCATTTATTTTTACCTATTAATATTTTTCTTTAGTTAATTAAAAATATAAAAAATGTTTTTCCGCAACTTTCAATTATTTTTGGTGTTTTTATTAATTTCTTTGACTTTTGGAAAAAGCAAAATAGTCGACAGATTTTTTGTTTTGGAGGAGGATATTTTGCAAAATGAAAACAATAACAACGAGAATAATGAAGGAGAAGAAGAGGATGCTATTGTTTCCTTACCCGGCCTTAACTTTGAATTAAATTTTAAGCATTATTCGGGTAATTTCTCTAATTTAAAGTAATTTCTGTCTGTTTTTAAACCAAAAAACGCAATTTTTCTATTAAAATTAAGCGATTTTATGAAAATTTAAAAACCGATGCTTTCTGAAAATGAGAGATTTTTCTAAAAAAAGTAGTCAAAACAAAAATGTTATTTGGTTAAAAAATAAACAGAAATCGGAGAAAAATTAAATGAAACTCGAGAGAGTATTGTTCAACCACCCATATTAATTGCTGTTAGCTCTAAACTGCTCTTATATTCAAGGACGTAGTCTTCAGGGACGTGATCGTAGGGATCGAGCCTTCAAGGGCGGAATCGTCGGGGATCGGGATTTGCCGGGGTAGAGCTTTCGGGGTTCGGGTTTTTTCCAAAAAAATAGTCGGGGGACGAGGTGCTACCCTAATTTTAACTAAACTGCTCTTATATTTTAAATTTTAGGATTTTTGAAAGTCTCATCTAATCATTTTCTTCATTACTGGTTTGTCACTTCTCAAGGAAATCCACTCAAAGATCCATTGGTTATTTAAGAACTCCTAATTAATAATCCAAACAATTCTTTCAATTGCAGATTTTTTGGTTTAATGGGGGCCCAGGATGTTCTTCTTTGGACGGATTACTTAGCGAATTAGGCCCTTATATTGTTGAGGAGGATGGAAAAACTTTAAACAAAAACCCCTATTCTTGGAATAAATATGCTTCGATTGTGTTTATTGAAGCCCCAGCCGGTGTCGGGTATTCATATTCTTCTGACGGAAATACAACAACAAACGACGATTTAGTAAATTTGGGAATTTTGTTAAAGGGGGTATTTCTCTTTGTTTTTTAGACATCATTGGAGAATTACGAGGCCATTAAACAATTCTTTGCACGTCACAATACTTTCCGTAATCATTCTGTATATATTACTGGAGAGTCTTATGGTGGTGTTTATTTGCCTACTCTTGGGGCGAGAATTGTGGATGGACAGGGGGAATTCCCAATTAATCTTAAGGTAAGAGAGAGTGTTGGACTACACTTATAAATACATCCCTTGAAGTTAAGAAATTGTATTCTATAATGGGTGTGTCTTAAATAGAGAGTATTATTTGGGTTGCTCCCTCCACCTAATGCCCAACCAAATTTTAGTAATTTTACATAGATTTTAGTAATTTTAGTAATTTTACACAAATTTTAGTAATTTACATCTAGAGTATTTGCGTTATCTTTAGGGTTGTTCCCCGACGGGGGGTGGGGGGGGGCGGGCATGGGGACAAATTTTCGGTGTGCCAGCGCCACGGGGAGGGGGGCGAGGAATTTTCGAAAAATCTCGCAAATTCCCCGACTTTCGGGGACGGTGATGGGGAACAACCCTAGTTATTTATAAAGTGTCCAACCACCGAAAACAATTTTAAAATTTAATTTCTCCAAAAGGGGATGGCTATTGGTAATGGCTATATGAACGCAAAAATGAATATTGACACCTCTGTTCGGTTTGCCTACGGTCACGGTATAATTGACCAAAAAGTTTGGAATACTTTAGAAACGGAATGTTGTCGAGGTTGTATTGGTAAAGGGAAATTTTTAGAATTAAAATACTTAAGTTATTTTTTTAGATGGCTGTGATTTATCAGGACTTGGCCAGTCTTGTGGAAGGATGGTTAGGAGGGGAATTTTAAATTAAAAAATAAGACAACTTTTTTAAAGGTGGAAGATATTTTTGAATTTTTGTGGCATAGCGGCCTTAATCCTTATGATTTATATAGAGATTGTGGCAAGTTTTTTTCGAAATTATTTTATAGTAATTAATGAAATGAGACGAGATTACGTTCAAAAATAATTTTTCTGATAGAAAATGTTTATGTAAGGCAGGAATACCGTAGGGCTATATCCCGAAGGCTCGGGTGCTATTTTTTAAATCAAAATTTCATTATTTTAGTAAAGGCCCTGAGGCTGTAGTTTTCACTAAAAAATTCCTTAATTTTATAGATCCAAGCCCTGGACGTAATTCAATGAAAATGGAAGTAATTAAACGAGGATTAATTCCTCCAAAAATGCTACACCGTATTTACTCAAATTCAACTAAAACACTTCGATGGAATCTGAAGGTCCCTTTTTTTATTTAATTTTAATACTTTTTCAAAATTTTTTAATTAAAGAGTACTCTTCATGGATCTCCTTCAGTTCCTTGTCTTAACGGTTTGTCTAGCAAGTAGAAACATTTGAACTCTCTTTTAGATACCCCATAAGGAAGTGTAAATTTATACCAGGGCTGGGCGAAATCTAAAAATAAAAGGCGAATTGCGAAACTTTTGGCGCTTAAAAATGTGAAAGATGCGAAATTAGCCTAGCCCTGCTTTTATACATAATGAGACCCTCCCAATTTAATAGCCATCCAAATTAAATATACCTATCTTAAATTGAGGCCTATTTATTAATATTGGGTGTATCTAAAATTGATGTTTGTTGGATATCCTGATCCGATATCTGAACCTAAAATTTCTGGATATCCGGCCTTTTTCGGGTCCGTATCCGCCAACCTTTGTTTAATGTAAACAAAATAAATTTAAAAAAACTAATTTAGACACAGCATTAACTACATATATGAATTTACCTGAAGGTGTATTTTTATTTAAAAGGAAATTAATTAATTTAAAATTAGTTCGAAAGGCTATACACATTCCTGATAATTTGGGACATTGGGATATTTGCAGTGATGATATAACAGAAAAATATCAAAAACAGATTGGTTATTGTTGATAGAAGACTTTTCTCTAATTTTAAGTTTTGTAGATGACACATCCCCGTTTGTTAAGAAAATAATAAAAGCCCATGCACGTGTACTTTTATATTATGGAGATACTGATATGGCTTGTAATTTTATGCTTGGACAAGAATTTTGTTCGAAATTGGGATTAAAAGTCCTTTTTTTGATTAAATTAAATTTAAAAATTTAATTTTGAAGTTAGTTGTTGGTAAGCAACCGTGGATGTATGGACATCAAATTGCTGGATTTAAAACAATTTATTCTAAAGGACTTACTTTTGTTACTGGTAGGGAATTTTTAGATTAAATTTACTATGACGAAAAGATCGTATCTTTTAATGGGATATACCGTATTTCCGGAAATAAAGCCCCACCCTGAGATAGAGCTTCATTTTGGAGGATAGTTGAAAAATAGAGCCCATGGGGTTCTATTTTCGGAAATACGGGATGGGGGGGAGGGGGTTTTGTTTGGGCAGATCTCTCCACCCAATGATCAATCAAAATTTTAAAAATTAAATTTAAAAATTTGAGGAGTGCCTAATTTTTGGGTATTTTATAGTTAGGGTGTGGGGTCGGGCCGACGTCGGGCCGACGAAGTCGGGCCGACGTTCGAGTCATTTTTATCGGGCCAGCCCAACCGAGTCTTTTTCGGGACAAAATTCGATGCCCGAACCGATCTTTCGGATCGGACCGGGCCCCAACCCTATTTATAGTCAAGTCTTTTACTGGGCTAGAAGGGATAACACCTCGTTTATCAAGATGTCGATCCCCAATTCCTGTCTTCATTTATTTAACCATCTTTTAATTTTCACTTTTTTCAGTTCGCGGTGCTGGACATATGGTTTAAAAACCTTTTAAAATCTAAAATTACAAAAATAATTTTTATTTTAAGGCCCCACAATGGCGAGCTCCACAAATGGATCATGTAATTAGTCAATTCCTTTTGAACCATCCAATTTAAAGAAAAAAAGGAGAAAATATTTTACAAAATATATTTTTGGCATTTTAATTATTTTTTAAATTTATTTCAGTTAATTTTAAATAAAGCCTTCAATAAATCTAAATAATTCTTCGCTACATTTTCCCCTTTCCCTTTTACTACTACAATCTCTCTCTCCCTAAATCTCTCTCTCCCTAAAAGTTTCTATTTAAATTTACTCCATTTGTTCAAACATTCTTTTACAAAAATTTCTCAATTCCCATTTTATTTTTTATTGACTAATTATTTTAATTTCTTCATTTAATTAAATTAATCCCCCCTCTTTAAATGCCAATAATTCCAAATAAATGCCTAACAAATATTTTAACTTCAATTAAAATCTACCTACTGCGCATCTCCAATCATTTTTATTTATTTTTCCCATTATTAATTTCAAGTCTTTGTGTCCACGCACAATTTCCTCCCGTTTATCAAAATGTTTGCCCTATGGGATGGGAGCAAGATGGAAGTGAGGAATTATAAAGATTAAAATGAGAGAAGCACTCCTTTCCTTGCAAACTTGTTTGTCATTAATCGGGCTGACGTTCGAGTCATTTTTTTTCGAGCCGGCCCGACCGAGTCTTTTTCGGGCAAAATTTGATGCCCGACTTGATCTTTCGGACAGGACCGGACCCAACCCCAATTCAGAAGCAACACGCAAAAATTAGAAAAACGAATCGAATACTAAAGATGATTAATTTAAATAAAATTGATATCTAAAATTAATAACGAAAGATTTTCTGAAATCAAAGAGAACAAAAAATACCTGCAAGAAAAGAAATTTTCTTCTTTACAAGGGCAAATTTTATCTATTAAATAAAAATTTTTAACAGGTTGTAATAGTTTTCTAAAGTCAAGATGTATGGATCCAAGAGAGGTGTGTTTAAACGGAATATGTTGTAAGTTTTTGGCTAAATTTACATATAAAAAACACATTTTAATTGCCAAGGTCAGCCTTCGAAGAATGTCGTACCTATGAATCCTGGTGATTTTATTTCATTGTCATAAATGATTTAATATTTTATATAATTTAAAGCAGCACCTTGCCCAATCGGTACTACACCAAATGGAGGTAGGTTAAATTTTGAAATATGGGTAGACCAAATCCGGAAGTTTAATTACTTAACGCATAATTATTTTATATATCTTAAGCCTGTCCTAGACTCAATTTTTGTTGGACACCTTCAGAAACCTGTATTTATGGTGCTTGTTGTGAGTAGCTTATATAAATAAATATAAATTTTAAAATCATAAAAAACCCAAAAAAATATTTTCAAACTCCACAAGGCAGAACTAACCCTGATATGCTACAAATGATCGCTGGTCAACAAGGAATGGGTGGCATGGGAGGGATGGGTGGTTTTGGTGGAATGGGTGTCCCAGGAGGGATGGGAGGAATGGGAGGATTTGGCGGAATGGGTGTTCCGGGAGGGATGGGAATGGGAGGATTTGGTGGAATAAACGGTATTGGAGGGATGGGAGGGCTTGGAGGCGTTGGAGGTATTGGTGGAATGGGCGGCATTGGAGGCGGAATTGGCTCTCCATTCGGTTTGCTAAATAGTAACTTTTTAAGTATACAATTCTCGTTAGGTTGTACAGATTTTGACCCATCTTGCCGTTATTTTGTCCGATACTGCTTTCTCGAAGTATTTTAAAATTATTCAAGTCTATTTCACCAAAATTTACTTTCAGTCAATTTCTGAGGCGTGCATGACAAGTTGTGGAATTTGTGGTATGTATGGGGGAAACATGCTTGGTGCGAACGGACTTGGAGGTGTTATGGGAAATTATGGAGGATTAGGAAATGGAGTTATGGGGAGGAGAAAATAATTATACTTAAACATAAATAATGTGGTTGTACAAAATGTGAAATAAATTTTTTGAAAAAAAAAGTATTTGAATTTACATCAAGTACTTTTAAAAGCTCATTTCTTAATTATTTATCTCGTTAACACTACATATAGAATTATAAAATGGGAATAAATGGTGATTATATACTAACTTTCCAAAGATGAAATATGGTTATCAGAGCTTTTAAACGATTCAGCTTGCTCAAAGGGTACTTATGTCCTTTGTAGAAAAATTTTGGTACTCTGTTCATACCCCTCCTATTTGAGTCTCATTAATTTTCCTTTTTTATGTCAATCATTAAGTTCCCTCAAACATTTAAGTAAATGTTTAGGATTAAAAAATGAATCAAATATATATAAACTTTTAAAACAAAAGCAATTTGATCGAGTCAATGAGAAACAATATTTTTTAATTAAATAAAATTTTAGTCATTGAGTGAGAAACTGATGAGGTATCGTCTTATCATCATCAAATAATATGTCAATCATTTCTGGATTAAAGCTATAACCAAGATAATCACGTTCAAAAGCACAATTAAATATACGTTCTAACCAGCAACGAAGAGTAATCATGTCTTCAATGTCCTCTGGAAAGTTTGGCAAACTTAAAATATATCTTTCGCCTTCTATTGTTACAATTCTAACAAGAATTGGCATTTCAGTTATTAAATGATTTAAATACAACGGAATTGATTTTTCTAGCGCTGCGTTCCACTGAAAAAATGAATACGAAATTTAATTAAAAATTAATTAAACCTTCTCCTTAAGTTGATCATTTAATGTAAATTCAAAAATTCCAGATTCAAGTTTAACGTATCTAGCGTTTTGATAGACTTTAGAACTAAGTTTTACATTTACAAGTCGATTGAATTTCTTCTTTGCCAATTCTACTTCATATTTATTAATTAAATTGCAAAAATAAAAGTTGGTTTGTCTAAGAGAAAATAATTGGTTGAAATCAAGGCATTTTAATATATCAAGCAGCACTTCAGGTGGAAGAGAAAACTTTGGTGTAATTATCTAAAAATAGAAATCAGAAAATTCTGAAAACAAATCAATTCTGACTCTGGTTCCAGAAAACTTTCACTGGACTCATAGAAGTCGATTGTACCTATAACCCGCCCAAAAATTATAAACATTAACCAAAAATATCAAAAAGGCATTAAAAAATAACAGAACCTCTGTTTTAGCAACTTTACTCCCTCGATTAAATTGAAGTTGGCTCCCACTAGGATTTTGTCCTGATTGTTGGTTATTTTGATTTACTTGAATAGTTCGCTTTCGAGTTGACTAAAAATTTGGAATCAAAATTTTAAAAACTCAAATAAATTTAATAAAACCTTTCGCTTATTTTCTTTAGTCAAATTTTCTTGGTTTTGAATATTTTGTTGTTTGGCTTTGCTTCGAGTGATCATCTTTTTTTAATTAAATTAATCTTAAAAATGCCAAAATTTTACAAAAAAATAAAAATAATATGGAAAGGAAATGATAACAATTAATTGGCACATACAAAAATAAAATGCGAATAAATTTTATAAGATAAAAATATAGACCTTCTATTTTCTTATAGGTCTAAAAGAAAAAACATATTTAAAAAAATAAAATACACATGAATTCCATAAAACAAGGGCTCTCATCGGATTTCTTCAATTTTTAGCCCCACAGGCGAAAATTTTCGAAATTTTAAGGAAAGTATAATTTTTTAACCAAAAAAATCTTAAATTTTGTAAATACAAAGGTAGGTTAATTCCAAAATAAATACATAAGAGCCCCGCATAAAACAAAAATAATTTAATCGAAAATCAAGGAGAAACTATTTTTAAAAATATAAATTTAGTTATTGAGTGAGAAACGGATTAAGAATTGACTCGTCATTATCAAATAATAACTTAATCAATTCTGGGTTAAATCTATGACCAACATAAGCATATTTAAAAGCACAACTAAATATGTGTTCAAACCAACAACGAAGTTCAACCAGATCTTTGATATTTTTTGGAAAGTTTGGCAAATTCAAAAGAAGATTCTCTTCATTCTCGATTTTTTCAATTTTAACAAGAATTGGCCTTTGGATTTTTGAATGCTCTAAATACAATGGAATTGATTTCTTTATCGCTGCTTGCCACTGAAAGAAAATGTATAATTTTATTAAAAATTAGTTCAACCTTCGTTACTTGTGCAGTTTACACCCCATAAGCCCCACCCCTCTGTCGTTCTTCCTTTTCTTTAGAAGAAAATGTTAATAAAAATACTGACCCAAATGATCATTTTACAAGAGGAAAAGCAGAAAACAAAGGAAAAAGGGGCTGAGCTTATGGGGTGTAAACTACACAAGTAACCAACCTTCTTCTTAAGTTGATCATTTAAAATAAATTCAGAAATTCCAGATTTACGTTCAATGTATTCAGCGTTTCGATAGACTTTAGCACTAAGTTTTACATTTACAAGTCGATTGAATTTCTTCTTTGCCAATTCTACTTCATATTTATTAATTAAATTGCAAAAATAAAAGTTGGTTTGTCTAAGAGAAAATAATTGGTTGAAATCAAGGCATTTTAATATATCAAGCAGCACTTCAGGTGGAAGAGAAAACTTTGGTGTAATTATCTAAAAATAGAAATCAGAAAATTCTGAAAACAAATCAATTCTGACTCTGGTTCCAGAAAACTTTCACTGGACTCATAGAAGTCGATTGTACCTATAACCCGCCCAAAAATTATAAACATTAACCAAAAATATCAAAAAGGCATTAAAAAATAACAGAACCTCTGTTTTAGCAACTTTACTCCCTCGATTAAATTGAAGTTGGCTCCCACTAGGATTTTGTCCTGATTGTTGGTTATTTTGATTTACTTGAATAGTTCGCTTTCGTTTCGACTAAAATTTTGGAATTAAACTTTTAAAAACTCAAATAAATTTAACAGAACCTTTTGATTATTTTCTTTAGTGAAACTTGCTTGGATTTTAATATTTTGTTGTTTGGCTTTGCTTCGAGTGATCATTTTTGCTTTGAAACAATTAACCTTATAAAATAAAAATAAACTCATATTTCGAATAATTAAGTTTTCTCAAACAAAAGCAAGATATAATAGGGAAAAGAAACGAGAGTGACCGGTACACCTCAATTGAGTCCCGACTCAACTGAGTCCCGGACCCTATAACTTATAAAGGGGTGGTCACTTTATTTTGCTCTTGGTACCAATGGGTAGGGCATTAAATAGGCTACAATATACCAAAAAATCAAAATTCCTAACCAACTGGTAAAAAAGTAATGATCGGTAAAGTGCCGAAAAATCAGATTTTTTTGAAAAAGTTAGTTTTTATATCATAACTTTTTTATCAATCGGTCAAAAATTCTGTCTTTTGAAATGTTATAGAGCTTTAGATTCTCTAAACAATAACACCAAGAACATGGAAAAGTGACCATTCCTTGCTAAGTATAGGGCCGGGACTCAATTGAACTTCTCCGCACTTATGCCCCAGTCAGCTTTTTACTTGGTGTATAAAATGGTCAGTCATTTCTTCCTTGCATAATTTAAGCTAATTTCCCTGTGGCTTCATTCATTCAGTCACTCACCCTTCAATAACTCTATTTTTTATTTGCAACCGTCTTCACATGTCTTACTGGCGAAACACGACCGATAATACTAATCATCCTTGAGTCCCGATCATTGAGTTTAACTGGTTGAGTACTGAAGCCATATTTTGGTTGACATGATCGGATCAGTCATGCTAGATAAAATAATCCTTAAATCAAGAGCTTTCGGTCGATGTATTAATTACCTAAATTGATTAAGAATTAAAAAAGTTATGGCCCAAAATATAGCCCCGGCACTCAACCGGCGGGACTCAATTATCCCGTTTCGCTTTTCATCAAACGGGCCTGTTGAGTACCTTGCTAACTTCATGCTTTTCTAAATTTAGGGGGTTTTTTTAATTTTTGCTTGTTTATCACGCGATATTTTAATTAAATGTTTACCTATATTATTCAATTATTTTAAAATTCCAGTTTATTGTCAATATTTAAAATGTCTGAATCTTCTCAAAATTATCGTCGGCTTGGAAGGTAATTTGCTTTATTTTTACTTTACACCATCATTTTTTTCAGAAATGGACACGGATTTGCTTATTGTTCTAAAAGTTCTTCAACATTCTTTCTAATACTTTCTGTTGCTTTTGTTTTGTCTCTAGTTTATTTATATTTCAGCACTAGCAGTGAATTGCAATCTTTCCGTGCTGATTTTGAAAATTTAAATTCTAAACATTTGGGCCTAAAAAATGATTTACTTGGTTGGTTTTTTATTAATTTTTTAAATTTTGTTTGTTTTTTCTTAAGATGCAAATGTTAAAGTTGAGGAATTGACAAAATCAGAGTCTGAATGCAAGTCTAGCAAAGATGAATTGGATGCCAAACTTCAAGGTTTATTTTAATTTTGGGTAATTTTGGAGTTCATACCCCCCCCCCCCCTTTCTTTATTCTTTCTCAAAGTATCAAAAATGGTCTCTTTACAAAAAATGTAAAACACATCGAGCTGTGTCGAATGACACCAAAATCAATGTGCCTGGATAAGATGTGACAAAGCTATGACATTAACTATAAGTAGACCTATCTGAGTTTGCGAATGTTGAACAGCTCGATGTGTTCTACATTAACGTAAAGACTGACCATTTTTAATGCCTTGGGAAAGAAAAAAGATGGGGGGGGGGACTTCAAAATTACCCAATTAATGTTAGGATTTATCTGTTAAATTTTTAAAATTTTTAGTATGCAAGAAAGATTTATATGATAAAAGTACATCTTTGGGTAGAGTCGAGACGAATAAAGCCGATTGTGAGAATACTTTAAAAGAATTGAAAAGTAAATTGGAAGTATCCAATTCTGCATTGGTAAGAATTTGAAATTTTTAATTTAAATAATTTTTTACAAAAGAAAGCAAAAGAGTCCGAGAATAGTGAACAAGCTTCTAAAATTGCGGAGCTGACATCGACAGTCACACAGTTGATTTTAATCATGTTCTTTTTAATAGAGAGTTTTTCAAATTTAGGTTGCGTAGTCAATTAGAATTGAAAAAATCTGACGCTGTTTTGCCTTCTGGAAAGACAGTTTTGCCTGATTCGAATATTCAGAACAATCCTATTGGAGTTGTCGAGACGGACAACCCTCCTAAGAACATTACTTTAAAAGCTGGTGAAAAAGGTATGAAAATATTTTTTGAAATCACGACTCGAATTTTTAAGTTCTAAACTTCGGAAGTTTAGATTGTCTAGAATGAGGCGATTCTACTCTTTATGACCCAAAAACTCTAAATATACTTTAAACTTTATTTAGGATCCCAGCGTGAGCAAATTGTAGCTCCAGACAAAGTTGGGGAAATTGATGCAAAAGATGATGGCACAAACGAAAAGCAGAACGGAGATTTTCCAAAACGGCAACCCGGTGGCCGTGTCCACTTGGCAGAACAAGAAGAAAAGCGTGATAAATTATCAAATCATAAAGAGCTTTTGCATGCAGCAGCCAATCTCGATAAACAACAAGAAGTTTTGGATGATGCTGGGGCGGAGAAAGAATATAATGTAAATGGGACTGAGGATTTGGATAATAAAAATAAGGAAGCAAAAAATAAAGATGAGAAGAGTGTTAATAGACCTTTGGTTGATGGTTAGGATTTTTGGTACTTATCGGTTATACGCCCTCAAATTGAGAGCTAGCCGATTTGACCGGCTTTTTACTTTTTGATTGATGCGATTTAAGTAATTCTTGTATCGTTCAAAAGCACCCGATAAGCAGTACCGTTTTTCCAAAGGATAGATAAAGTCTGATCAACCATTTAAAAGTTATAACAAGATAAGTCCAGTTATTTCATGTTTTTACATTTATAGGGTTATAACATTTTAACGAGTGATCAGATTTGATTTTTTTAGTTGGAAAAAATTCCTCTTATCAAAGGCTTTCGAATGATATAAGATTTATTAAACTGAATCAATCATCAAAAAGTTAAAGCCGCTCAAATTCGGCTAGCCATCAGTTTGTGGGCGTATAACCGATAAGTACCGGATTTTTTAATTAATTTTAGCCTAATTTTCTTATTTTTCAGCTCTACACGGAATCGTTGCCTAATTGGTATTTTTTAAACAAACAAGAAGTGAGCATGTGAGAATTAGTCTAATATTTAAGCAATACATAAAGGATTGGAAAGGATTAAAAAAATTTTTTTTGTTTCTCTTTTAAAACATTCAACCGTTAATCTACATATATTTATTAACAAATACCCTCTTTAATTTTAAATAACCTCCCTTCCCTTTTTTGTGATTTGTTTTGTGTACATTTTATTTGTTCTGATTTCCAGTATATTACAACGATGTAAATAAATATTTAAGCAAAAAAATTTTTTTTAATATTTTAGTAGAATGTCTGTGAGCATTTATATATTTTTAAATTTTTTGTCAAAATTTTATACCTTTTTTAGTATTAAATAAATTCATTAAGATGTCATCTTCTTTGCCTACTCCTGATTCCACTTCGGAGCAAATTAGTGCGAAAAATGCTGTTGGCGATGATGATCTGATTGATGAGGATGCTTTGTTGGAACCGAAAGATTTGGAAAGACCAGAACAAAAAAGTGGTTTATTTTCTTTTATTTTTTAAATTGAACATCTTATTAGGTTGTGGACCTCCCAAGGAAGGTGGTGAACAAAAGAAGAAACGGGCTTGCAAAAATTGTACCTGTGGTTTGGCTGAATTAGAAGATGTTGAAGATGAAAAGGTGGAAGCGCCACAGCTCAAATCTGCTTGTGGAAATGTATTTTTTAAAGATAATTTTATTTTGGGAATTCACGATAAAATTAGGGCTATTTGACCTTATTGCTAGACTACTGCCATTTTCTCTTTTTATCTTAAACCCCCTCCTAACAAGGAACACAATCGAACTTTCTGGAAAAATTTTTCAATTTAATTTATGCCATCGTGTATATCTTTCCAAAGGTCTTCGGAATGGAGGTGCCAAAAATTTAGGCAATAGGTTATCGACCATGCTTTAAACGTTGGTACATATAATTTTTATTCAAAAATTTTTACTGACAGTTCGATAGTGTTCCTTGTAAGCTTTTTAATTGCTACGGGTTAGCTTTCTTCCTTACAATAAATTTTATATTTTATTTAATTTTAGTGTTATTTGGGCGATGCTTTTCGATGTTCTAATTGTCCGTATATGGGAACTCCTCCGTTCAAACCTGATGAGAAAGGAAAAGTGATGCTTTCAAATGTTGACGACATTTAAATGTGTTTATTGAAATAATTATAAGACAGTTAAAAATTAAAATTCCTTTTGAAGTTTTAAATTTGATGAAAATAATTTTCAATATTTTAATCAGTATTTTATTCTTTTCATTTTTAATTGAATCTTCTATACTTTTCTAGTTTTTACCTTTTTTTATTTCATAATTTAAATAGAAAATTTTTCTTTATAATGTCTGATGTGGTTTTTTCGTCAAGTGATTTGATTAAACAACTTGAAAAAATTCCACCTGAATATATTGGGAAAGAAAGGTTTAACAGATTGATTAAAATGTTAGTTTACTACATTTTTTTATTTTTTTCACGGTACTTCTCAGTTATTCGACCGCAAACTGAGTGCCAACCGATTTTGATCGGCTTTAACTATTTTAATGCTCGATCCAATCCAAATGAATTACCTTTATATTTTTTCTAATAGGATATAAAGATATGATCAATCATGAAAAAGTTATAACCCGATAAGTTAGGTTATTTGACGTTTTCACATTTATCGAGTTATAACTTTTTAATGGGCGATCAGACATATAAAGGATCAAGCATTAAAAAGTTAACTGATCAAATTTTGTTGACACTCAGTTTGCGGTCATATAACGGAAAAGTACCTTTTTTACTATTTTATTTTTTAGTTGTGGAAAATTGGCACTTCGTGCAAAAGATGGAAATATTACTGGAGGTCAATTTCAAATGGCTTGCGGTCCTGTTTCTGGTCGAATAGTATGTTTTTATTCCTACTTCCCTAATTCCTACTTCCCCTTTTCCAATTATATGATGATATTTGTACTCAAATTGATGATGAAATTAGTAAAGCTGAGGAAGAGAAGAAAAAGATTCTTGAGCAAGAAGTAACGAGTACATCTAAACAAAAACCAAGAAAACGGAAGAAGAGTACTCAATATAATTCATTAACCACTCAAATGCCGGTTAGTAAATTTTAAGTGGTATTTGTGAGTCAGGCCCGTAGCCCGGGGGGGGGGGGGGATTCCCCCACCCGAAATGGGGAAAAGGGAAAAATTTGTGGAAGGGATTGCAAAAAAGTGAATTTTTTGGCCTACGGCTTTCTAGAATTATCAACATTCTCGTATGCGGTGCTAAAAATCAAAATTTCTCCCCCTTGTCCCTCCACCCCCAGGAAGAAAATCCTGGCTACGGGCCTGTAGTGAGTTATCTCATACCGGGTCTTGCGGACATATTTATGCGGACTCACTCATAATACAGACTATTTGGTGACATTGGAGAGAAAAAATAATCTTTTCTTTATTAATACCTCATTAAATAATGCCATTGAAAAATATAGTGAAGATGATGAAAGATGTCTGCCCATTCTGTAAATATGAGTGAGTCTGCATAAATATGTCCGCAAGAACCGGTATGATATAACTCACAAGTACCTTTTAAGATATAAACAATTTTAACTTTTATCTATTTCAGGATCCACTTCCAGTTGGTCTTTCTTTAGATAGAACTCCATTCTGGTTTATGGAATATCCTCATTATGTTATTCAGTTGGCAAAAGATTTAGAATGTGAGCAAGTGTTTGCTTTCGATTTGGAAAGGACAGTTCCTTTCCGTCACGGCACGAATAGTAAAGTGTGTTTACTGCAAATCTCTACACAGAATAAGGATTTTGTAATTGACACGTTGGCAAATGGAATGAAAAGCGCCGTTACTAATTATCTCAAACAAGCTTTTGAAAATCCGCAGATTATTAAGGTTTTTTTAGAATTTAAAACAATCTAAATATATTATACCGCTACTTGTTCGCAAATGTTTGTCCGCAGAAGTTTCTCCTTTTTTTCTTCTCATAAAGAATAAAAAATGTTAATTAACAAAAATAAAATATACTTAAATGTAAACATTCCTTAGTTTCATTGAGCTGAAAAAAACTTTGAAACTTAAATAAAAAATGGCACTTTTCTAATATTGACTGCCTTATTTTAAATTAATCATGGCTATTTTTTATCCTTGAACATTTCCAATCTTTATGAGAAGAGAGAGAGAGGATAAGAAACTTTTGTGGGCTTGTAGCGTATAATGCGATAGTACCATAATTTAGTTTAAGTGGCATATAACCAACACAATTTGAGATACTTTTCTTAATCGGATTATAAACTATACCCCCTTTATTGTGTGATAACTTGATTTTGGATAAGATCCCCTAAAGTTTTATTTAAAATTTTGATCCAACTAAATTTAGATTGTCCACGGCAGTGATGATGCAAAATGGTTAAGAACAGTTTTCGACATTAAAATTAAGAATGTTTTTGATACCAGCACCTCTCGTTGTAATCTGCAACAACTTGTTTATATTGCTTGCGGTATTAAATTGGATAAGCGATATCAAACTGCTGATTGGATGAGACGGTTAATTCTTTGTTTTAATTAATTTTATTTTCTTTTTTCAGTCCTTTAAGTCGAGACATGGTCGAATATGCTCGATTAGATACACATTATTTAATCAATTGTTGGCAGTATTTAATGAAGACAAGCCGTAAAAGTTTATCAAATTATTCAGTAATTTAACTTTTTCAATTATTTATCGATCTCTAATAATTTTTTTCCCAAATTTTTTTCTAACTTTTCACTTAACAAAGATTCGAATTTAAAATTTTTATGTAACCCAGGGTTTGGATTCGTGCTTATTTTGGAAGTACAGAACTTACAAATTGATCCTTGTACTTCCAAATTTAAAAATGTACTTATTTATAAGCAGAGGTGGGTCGTAATCACGATTTCCGACGTTTTTTCCTTCCGATTTCCGAAAAAATTCTGATTTCCGAGTTTCGACTTTTGAGCCATTTCCGAAAGTTCTTTTTTAGAATTTCCGACGATCCAACTTCTTTGTCATTTCCGACCCACCTCTGTTTTAAGTACGTACTTACGAATAGACTTTTTGATTAAAAAATTAAATTTAACCTTAAAATTCTCAAAATTTTCGTATGCGGCGCAAAAAATTTTAGACTTTTTAGCGTTTTCGGTGCCAAAAAGGTGTTTGAAAAATTTTTTTGTAGCGTACTTATATTTTGAAATTTTCCCCCAATATACTTCCAAATTAACTTTTTCTACTTACACTTAACATTTTCTCGATCCAAACCCTGATGTAACCCTTTATGTTTATTTTAGTGATATTTGCTTGATATTCAAATAAACTTTTTTTCTAAATCTTGTCTAATATATTGAAATAATTATAGTTGTTTTTTAAATATTTTTTGAGTTAAGGATAATTTTTGTTTTATTATTTTTAGTTTTCTTTAAATGTTCAGACTTCAATGTTGTACTTTAAGGTTGTTTATTATTTTTATAAATTAAAAAAATTAATTTAGTTCTCGCCTCCATTTTTGTAAATCTTTACTTTATGGAAGAGAACGTCTTTTTTGTGTTCGTTTAAATTATTCCCAATTGGCAGTAAAAACATCCGATTCTGAATCTGATCCAAATACTTCCAATAAAATTATTCAGAAACGACCTAGTGCTCTTGATTTACTTTTGAATGCTTCCAATATAAAAGAAGAATGGTCAGAAGAAGAATTAAGGTTGAAAGAGAAGGCTGAACGTGAAAATGCTTGGTTGGTTGGGAATTTTGTTGTTTTTGGGGGATTTTTAGGCGGAGGATTTGATTTATTATGGGAGAAAGCAAAGTCTAGAGCACGTAAGGGTGGCAAACAAAGAACCTAACAAAATTAAGATGGCCCATACAAAATATTCGAGTTTAGGGCTATTTTATCCCCCCCCCCCTCCACTAATTTGCAAGGGTTAAATACCAGAAACATTATCTTCCCTACTTTCTCTGTTTATTTAATCCGGTCAGTTATTAATTTCTCATATACCCCAATCTCGACTTGAAACGAGGGAGTTTCATTTAATCCGGTCAGTTAATCATCCCCCTCGTATTTAAACTTGTTAACACTTATTTTTTCTCCAGAGAAAATAATTTAATTTTTAGGATTCCAGTTTACAGGAATCGAAAAGGCCTTTTAAGGTTTGTCTTTCTCATTTATAATTCCCACAAAATTAACTTTTTAGATTATTTATAACTCTTCGTTTAAATTCTTTAATGTTTTTTGGCTCATATATTCTTTTATTTTACTCAATTTTTCAACAATTATCAGCTACAGGATTAGTCGATTTACTTGTAATTTCTCCCCAATTAGGACTGGCAATGTTTGCTACTTTAGTGAATTTTTTGGTTAAAAGGTTATTGAGATTTTAAATAAACCCCCTTTTTTGTTTTTATAGAGAATTAACTCGAATTGTTGGTGTAATCTCTGTTGATAAAGAATCTAAAACAATTTACAGAATTGGACATTTTTCGAAATTTGGATTTCGCCAAAATGAATTTGCTCGTTTGGGGGATATGAAGGATTTAACAGACAGTAATTCTACTGGAGTGGCGGGTTATGCTAAATTGATATGGACTTTTAGGTTATTCTAAAATGTTTTTAAAAATGTTGGGGGACTTTCCCCAATAAGTTGAGAGGACTTATTCCCCAATAAGTCCTCTCATTGTCCGGCAGACATTCAAAAAATATTAAAAATGTATGGGAACAACAAGGACCAATTTATTGTAACAGAGCAAAACAGGATATCAATAAGTTAGTAGAAAGTTCAGCCTAGTTTTCGTAAGTACCAACCCTAAACAAGCCTATATATGCCAAAGATGACTAGTAAAAATTAAAGGGGATGAAAGACACTGTAATTCACTAAAGATATTTTTATTTTAGGCCAAAAAAGGAATTCCTCCTGATTCCAATTTTCGGATGTGAAATTGTAGATAAAGAAGCAGCTGAATTATTCCTAGGGAATCTGGAACATTTTAAATCTTTGCCGGAGACAACGACAACACCAGAAATTACTAAAATATCAATTGAAGCAGAAAATATAAAACGTTTAGATGTTCCAAAAGCAAAAGAAGATTAGAGAATTTTGGAGATTTTATGGTTTGGGTCCACCCTTTTTCCTTTTATTACCTTCATGATTTAAAAATGGTATTCATGCATGCCCTCAAAAATCATTCAAAACCTCTCACTTAAGGGAAATACGGGTGTGAAATTAAGTTGGAAACAAGCCAAAAATTTCTTAAAAAGGACCCAAACCTAACTAGGTGTTAGGGTGGCGGCTTAGTATAAAAGGCGAAGCCTTTTAGTAGGCGTGAGTTAGTTAGTGTTAGTCTTTTGTGAGTCTTGAGTCAGTCTATAGTCAGTCTTAGTCCGTAGTCAAGCTACATTCTACTCCAGCGCATAGTCTCGTCATTTCTATTGTATTGATACCTTTGTGATAAACCTTTGATAGTTAGTCTTTGGTTAGTCTTTCTGTTAGTATCGGACACACCGCAAGTCGATACATAACACTAGGTATATATCACCGTATTTTCCTTATGTTTAATTTAAATTCTTTAAATAATTAAAAATCAATTTGTCAATTGTTTTATCAAAATATTTGTTAAATTGTTCTCAATATAACATCAAGTCTTCAGTCTTTTCTCTTTCATCAATTATTTTAATCAAGTTAATCAAAAATTAAATATAAATACAAGGCAGACTTGATGTTTTCAAATTTGTTTTTAACATAAAGAGAAGTTGCGATATTTTTTGCTTTGTTACTAATTTTTAAATTTAAATATTTAAAAGTCAATTTCCCGATAACAAAAAATCCTTTTCACCTTTATTTAGTTACAAAGCTTTTTCAAGTTAATAGTTTAAGTGAGTATTTAATAATTTTATAATTTTTAACCATTCCGAACATTTTTTCCTCACTTAAACCACAAACACAAAATTTAAATAATCAAAGAGGTGTTTTTTCAGAATATGGTAATGAAATGAAAAAATTTTAAATTGGGTGCACTACAGCGATCAAATGGATGTTTTAGTATAAAATGATGGGAGAGATCCAATTGGGGGATTTAAAATTTTTTTAAAAGGCCAAGAAAGTCTGGCATCGTTCAAAATCCATCCTTCTAAGCGCTCGTAGCTGGAGGCGCGGCAGCAGGCTTCCCTCCTTTTGCCTTTGCAGCAGCTGGCTTCTTCCCTCCGGCCGCTTTTGGCTTCTTTGCAGACTTTGGTTTCTTTGCAGATGCCTACAAAAATAATTAGGGAATATTAATTAATAAAATGAAAAAAATTTGCCTTCTTAATTGGAGACTTCTTTGCGACAGACTTCTTCGGAGATTTTCCCTTCTTTGCCGATTTTGCCTTAGGCTTGACCGTCTTCTTAGCTGCTGGTGATGTAGGCGCAACAACCGCAGGAGTCGGAGCGGCAGCAGGCTTTGCAGCAGCAGGACTTGCTTTTGCGGGGGCAGCCTTCTTTCCTGAAACCTTCTTCTTTGGTGTTGCTTTCTTAACAGCTGGCTTCTTCACTCCGGCAGTCTTTGCTTTAGCCTTCTTTGGCGAAACCGATTTCGAGACAATTTTGATTGCCTTTCCTTCTCCAAGAATAAAAGATCCAGCTGCACCAATACCCTTCGTCTGCTTAAGAGAGCCAGTCTGAACACCCCTTTTCAAAGCCTGCTTCAGATGAGCGTTGATCTACAAAAGTTGTGTTAAACTTGAAATTCTAAAAGAAAGTCGTTTACCTTTGCCGGGTTCTCTCCAAGCTTGTAATGCGACATAATGAACTTCAGGATTGCAAGACGGCTAGCCCCTTTCTTTTCCTTCAATTCATCCAATGCCTTTTTGATCATCTAGAAATTAAATTAATTATTTTTGCGAGAATTTGAAAGAAATCCTCACAGATTTGTATGGAGGATGATCGCTTGGCGACTTTGGTTTCTTCGATGCCTTAGGAGACTTCGGCTTTTGCGCCTTCTTGGAAATTCCCTTTTTAGCATTTTGCTGAGTCGGAGTAGTGGTCGGAGAATTTGCTGCAGCAGTAGACATTTTAAATTTTTTGAAAGTTTTTTAAACTTTTTTTTTAACTTTTGTATCACTAAAATAAAAAAAAACAATATATGGTGAAGAAAAATATCGGTGCTTTTAGGCGGCAGATGCTGGGTTGTTGTTGGCTTGGCTTGAGTTAAGGGAATAAATAAGAAAGGATAGAAGGAAAATAATGGAAAGAATCGGAATGAAAGAAGACAAGCCACAAAATGTGTGTAGAGAATAAGGAAAGTAGAGTAGTGGGCGTAGAAAAATGCGAAAGCAAATAGTCTTTGAAAATAAAAAACATGTTCAAAATGTCAGAAGGACAAAATGCCCAATTTAGAAATGGCAGTGTGGAAATGATAAGATACCGTATATTTCCGGTAAATTTATACCCGAAATGCAGGGAATGGTATTTGTCCCCTAAACTTTTTCACAGCCATTACATTCTCGATTTTATGGTAAATTTTGTTTCTTTTTTTCGGTTTGTTAAAGTTTTTCGAATTTAAAAGTTTTTGTATAACAGACCGAAAAAGGTAGCAACAAGCTAACAGTGGTCCCAAGCCAATTTAAGCCCCGACCCCAAACAATCTTACAGAAACAAAAATAGCCACTGAAACCCAGGAATAAATTAAAGTTAAAAAAATGAGGAGAGGATGAAGACATTATTTAAACTAAGGGGGTTGCGAGTTGGAGGCGCCATTAAAGTTCTGGGACTATATCAGGTTTCAGTGTTCGATATCCCAAAATCAGCAATATGTATCTGGGCATTATGTAAATTGGACATTTTGTAATTCGTAAGTGTAACTTGCACGTGATCCATTAAAAATAGGCAGGCCCCGCCAACTTGCAATAGTTGGTTGTTATTTAGTGTTAGAGAAAAGGTACTAGTAGTGTTGGAGTTAATTTTTTGTTATAAATATAACGTCTTCTGAATCGTGGATTCACATAGGGAATCGATTTTTTACCCAGGATCGGCCTTCAAAACCGGTAATCCCTTCTCGGTTTTTCAACAAAAGTGCATATTTAGTATGCTGTAGAATATTTTAAGAGGAAAAGAAACGCAAAATGTGGAAGATAAACAACAGAGAGAGCGTGCATTTATTTGAGCGCGATAACTTGTCTACACAAAATTTCTAATTCGCGTTGAAGGAAAAAAGTGGCAAAACGGTCAGTTTTAATAATGTCCAATTTTCATAATGTCAATTATCGATTAGAGTTCATAAAACGGGGGGGGGGGTGTACTGCTAGAAGAGGAAAATGTAAGGACCCATCGTGAAAATGTCACTGACCATTTCGCTAAGAATGAGCAAGCAGCATTTAAAGTACAATTTTAGGCCTAGGAGTAAATTCCTAGCCAAGACCCAATCAATATTCGTAGGGATAAATCATAATATGTATCGACATATGCAAGTCGGATTACCGGATTATCTGTAAAAGTTGGACGGTGTGTTTACTCTAAAAAATGTCCGGATTGTCTTTTGGTCGGATTGTGTCTCGCCTCCCACCCAAATTTGTTGACAAAAAATATCGATTTTTGATACATAACGCCAAAACAAAAATGCAGCGATTTTTTTGAATTCGATTTTCTTTATAATTTCTGACATACTGCTTCTGTCCAGTAAAATGATAAATATGGTAATTTCAAAACAATTAAATAAAAATGCAAAATTTTATTCAAAATGAACAAAAATTATTAGTTTTTTTTTCTAAAATTTGAGTAAATTAACAATTCTATTTCTTGGATGATTCCTGATAAAATATTTCCGCGTTTCATTAAAAACTAGAAGGTAGAGACCAACAATTGGTGCAAACAGCCATACAAATAAAGGTGGGGATTGTATATCCATTAAATATTGAAATGCTGGCTAAAATAGTGGATAATTTTTTTGGTTTTATTTTAATAATTCGTCTACAAGGAAGCAACTTTTGGATTTTTCTTTCTCTGTTATATTTCTGTTCAAAATTTTCTATTCTTTTTTTGGATTTTGTATTCCTCCCCTCCCCTTCCACATTTATAATTATTTACCGTGTATACAAATAAATTGAGCAATAATATTTCTATAATGACTGCAAAAATGCTGACTAAATTGGTAATGCCATGTTGAAAAATGGAAATTCTTCTAGTTGTGCACATGTAAAGATGGAATACTTGAGACTGGAAAATTTATTAAAAATTTTATTTAAATGTACAGTATAGATCAGAGATGGGCCCTCATGCATTAAAAACGGAAAGCGGAGGGTAAAAAAGGGAATTCTGCGGAAGGCGGAAGACAGTCTGGTACGGATGTTTTCATAATTTCTTTCTTAAACCCTAATCCTTTCCTGACTTTCTACTTGTGGCTCAAAAGTTTTCTTTAACTTTTTGGATGTATATCGCGAATCTCTTTCCAGAGGAATACACAAAAAATGTAAAAAGAAAAATGAAAAAAATTTCAGAGGGAAATGCCTCCCCATCAACACCAAATATAAACTAACCATAACCAACGTAATTTGCCATGCAGCTAGAAAGAATTTAAAAAAAATAAAAATTTAACAACAAGTTCAATAAACCTGCGGCCTGTCTCCTAATTCTAATTTGTTCTAAATTATCGAATGATATTTCTTTAGAATTTGGACCAATTATTGTTAGGTTGGCCGATTCATAATGCCAATAACGTTCTGAAGTGTAACTGAATATAAAAATAAAAAAAAAAAGATAATTCAAATAGAGAGCGGCAAAATTGTTAAGTTTGGGGCTGTAAAGGGGGATTTTTTACAAAAATTGAACGAGACAAAATTGGGACGGGATTTTACTCAGTGCCGCACTCTAATCTTAAACTGATACATACAGCAAGTTGAGAGGCGATATTTTGTTGTACCTTTAAAAAGAAATTTTAAACTAAGACTCTCTATTAGGGTTGTAACCCGAATCTCGAGGGCACGTTTTTCGGGGAGCGTTGGAGGATGACGACAGAATAACACTCACAATTTATTGTCAGTCATACTCCAACACTCCCCGAAAAACGTGCCCTCAGGATTCGGGGTACAACCCTACTCTCTATAATTAATTGGCTCCCCTACAAAGGATAGATAAATTAAAGGATAGATGCCCTAAAGGATAGATACGCCCAAAAACTATCAAAGGATAGATGCATCAAAGGATAGATTCGCTAAAGGATAGATACGGTCAAAAGCGATCAAAGGATAGACAGCGGAATAGGTCGGTTGAGTCTGGACAAAAATATTTAACCAACAGAATCTTCGCTGGAAAAACTGTTTTTGTACTGCTACGGAGGGTAGGCCGGGCATGGTCTTCGCTACACGGTGGCCGTGCTTCGCTGCGGTCGTGCGTAGCGAAGCGGCGGCCGTAGCAAAGCGGCGGCCGTCGTTCCGCTCGACATTCCCGGCTTGCTCCGCAGCGGCAAAAACTTTTTTCCGCGAATATACTAAAGTAAAGTAAGAGCGAGGTAAAAGTTTAATCCCGGGCAGGCTTCGATCCTGCGACCTCCTGGCAGTTATTGCTAGGCGCTTTCGCTCACCACGTACAGGTGCTCTACCAACTGAGCTACCGGGACGCTGCTTTCACCTTCTCTTTTATAAGATCTTAAACCCCCGCAGTCAGCGTTTTAAATGCTAGCCAGCTGGATCTTTTCTCTCTCTTTCTCTTCCTTACATCTCCATCCCTACACTAGACCGGTCCCTCGGTCTTTGCGCCCAGACCGATCAACCGGCGATCCAGCTGGAAGCAAGTGGGGTTGCCGCCTGGGAGCACCAGTAAGAGCGAGGTAAAAGTTTAATCCCGGGCAGGCTTCGATCCTGCGACCTCCTGGCAGTTATTGCTAGGCGCTTTCGCTCACCACGTACAGGTGCTCTACCAACTGAGCTACCGGGACGCTGCTTTCACCTTCTCTTTTATAAGATCTTAAACCCCCGCAGTCAGCGTTTTAAATGCTAGCCAGCTGGATCTTTTCTCTCTCTTTCTCTTCCTTACATCTCCATCGTGCTACTTTACTGGTAGCACCGGATGGTTTAATTACCCAAGTTTGAGATATAATAATAAAAAAAATCTATTATTAATTCTTTATTAAAAAAAAAATGTCTTCAAATAATCATGAATTAAATGCCTTCTGGCATAATAATGAGAGTGAGTGGAAGAACGAGCTTCCAGTGGTTACGTTGAAAATGGGAGGTAAAGCCTATCCTTTCTTAGGGCAGCTCCACCCGTTGTCAAACTTTTTCTATGCTCCACTGGTATGGAAAAACTTATCCTTTGATTGTGTAGAGCAGGCGTATGTGTGGGAAAAAGCTAACTTCTTCGGGGATATGGTGAATGCTAACAAGGTAAAGTCGTTAAAACATTTGGGTGGGGGGTGTAACAATAAAATGCCTTCTGGCATAAAAAAGAAAGTTCATCCACGGAATTATAAATGGATTGGCAAAGAAGTAGTGGGGGATTTGAAAATACAGAAAGAGTGGTCCAAGGTAAAAGAGACGCTTATTGAGGAGATAGCGTTCGAAAAGTATAACCAGAATGCGGAACTAAAGCGTCTCCTCTTGAGTACAGGTTAAGGGTGGATATTAGAGGCCAATCCAAGAGATAGTGAGTGGGGAGTTGGGTATGGTATGAGTGATCCTATTCTGGAGCAGTTCACGCCTGAATCGGAGAAATTCGGAACAAATAAAATGGGTAAAATATTAATGAAAATCCGAGCAAGGTTAAGTCAGGTGGAACTCCCAGAGTATGAGGATATGGACATAGAGTCGGTGTCATCTGACACAGAGACGAGCGAAATTGAAGTGCCTTCTGGCATGAACAAAAGTGTCGAGTATGAAGTGCCTTCTGGCACAAAAATGAAAAATATTTTACAGTCGTCGGGTCGTGAAGGGGAATCTTCAGGGGTCTCAGAATGGGCTAATAAAGATAGTGGTTGGGACCAGCCTACGAGCTCTCAGCAGTCGGAGCGAATAAATCCTGAAGACCTCCCAGATGAGGCAAGAATCACTTCGTCAACACCAGAACCGGCTCGTGATGATGAAGCTGTATTAGGTAAAGGTCCATTAAGGTACATGATCGCAAGAGCCAAAGATGGAGAGTTGATTGGTGCGAGAATATCAGGAAAAGGGCCATTCTTTACTAAAATACCGGAGAACTTGGTGGAAGGGGAACACCGAAAATTACAGTTGGGGGATCTTGTTGAGGTAGGTGAATGGGAGGACAGAGAGGGGTATGAAGTGTTAGGTAAATTCGCGGCAAATGGACCGAATGATCCAGCGGCCCAAGGGCGTTATCCCCCGTGGTTATTTTCAGGTACAATAAACTACCAGGCCACCGCGACGTCGGCAACAGTTGAATTAGTTAGAGAAGCCCCAACTTGGCTACCAGCCTTAGTAGTTTCTGTGAACATTAACAGAGCAAGGGGTACATTTAAATCGGCGGAGCTAATGGCACCAGATATGCTTCGTAGCCAGGTAATTAATTCCAGACAACTCACAAATATTCACCATGAAGACCTACGAACCGGTCACTTCATCGAGGTAAATTTGTGTGCAATTAATTCCCCACAGATATGGAGAATGGGTTCCTCATATATTCTACCTGAGAAAACTCCATTCCGTGTCGGTGATGAAGTATGGGCGCACCAGAACTGGATTATTATCGGAGCTAGGCCATTGTCAGAACAGATTTCTTATCCACTCCGAGCAAACTTTTCGTCGTCTAGGGTAGGTTTAACATTAGCAGCAATGTCAGCTGTTGTTGCACACCAAAGAGATGTTGAAGAACGTCGGTTAATCAAACATTCAGTCACGTCTATGCTGTACTGGTTGGAAGACGACAAGGCCAAAAAGAAGACTGTTGACAAGACCCTATTGTTGAGATTCTTTATCCACACAAAAGACCTGAAAGAACTTCAAGGTTATTGGAAAACTTACGAAGAAGACTCTAGCGTACACATAAAAAGACCTGATCATGATACTAAAGTTTGCGGATATGGCGAAATAAGACAGGCCAGGAAAAATATAACTCGAGATGGTTATAACATGGAAATAGTTATGGCGGCCCGCTTTCAAGACGCAAAAAATTACGAACGGGGGTTTGACGATTGGCATGACTTAGTAACCAGTGAATGGGAGGCTAGAATAATACCGATTTCCAACACAAAAATGCTACACCGAAGGGAACTGACTCTCATGGACGGACTTCCCTGGTCGCTTGCCCAATCTGATCATCCCATTGCCCCAATTGCAAGTGCTCTCTTAGGTCGTGAACGCAGGGAACCGCCACCACCTCAACACATTGGAGGCATTGTAGATGAACACCCGGCCCTTCAAACATTAAATGAGCAACAGCTCTTAACTGTTGCGATGTTCCTGGATAACCGACCCAGAGTAATATTTAATCAAGCCCCGCCAGGAACGGGTAAGACCTGGGTATCGGGGGCGGCAATAGCGGCGACACTCCAACGGGACCCGAAAGCAGTCATATTGGCCACAGCACCTATAAATGTAGCTGTTTGTGAACTTGCCGAAGACACGGATAAGGCAATGAGAATGGCTGGCCAACAAGTTCCCATGTTGGCCATCTTCTCAGTTAATGGAAAGGCCCGATATATGGAAAGAATCAGACAGGTGGGTGAACATTTAGTTGTTCATAGAGTGAAGGATGAAGACATTCGGGAGGAGTTGATGAAGAAAAGCGGTAAATTGATTCAGAAATATGAAAGGGATTGGGAAAGGGCGCCAAGAAGGGCTCAAGAGCGAGCAGCCTCATTTGAGGTAAGCCAGCTTAAAAAGTTTAGGGTGTTTTTCATGACCATGGCTTTGGCAGAAGAATTCCAGTCATTTCTAGACGCAAGCATGGCAAGCCCGCGTGAGAACAAGTCTGTAATAACACCTACCATAACTCATATGGTGGTGGATGAAGTTGGACAGTGCCAGCACAACGCCATTCTTTCCACAATCTGCCAGTACAGGAATCTTCGCAAACTTTTGCTTACTGGCGACTACCTGCAGTTACAGGTTTATACCCCAAGTCAGCCACAAGTAGTAAGGAATAAGTGGGCCATGAACTCAATAATTGGAATCGTGCAAGACTACGCAGGTATTAGTAATAATAGACTCGTAGTATCTTTCAGGTCACATCCCAGTATTGTGCGATGCCTAGAAGCCAGTGTCTATAGACCAGCAGGAGAGCAATTCCGTGCGGGACTTACAATTGAGCAAAGGAATTTACTCACAGATGAAATTGGTATAAACCTTCCTGTTCAGACCTGTCCCATTGTACTCATACATCAAAACACCATGACCATGCAAGACGCGACTTCGTTCTCGTTAACAAATCCTGGGCACACTGAAACGGCCATGGCCTTAATCGACATATTAAGCCAGCCACTACTCGCCAGGCGTAAGAGAATCTTAGTTATTTGCTTCTATATGGCTCAAATGGATGTGATAAAAGAACAATTGGAGGCAAGGCAAGTCAGGAATGTAAGCTGCTCTACAGTAGACAGCATACAAAGTCAGGAGGCGGATATAGTATTGCTTATCACAACAAAGACTCGAACTGGTAGCGCCAAAAAAGTTGAGGAAGAAACGGCAACATTTTGGACTGATCCTCAACGCTCAAATGTTGCGTTATCCAGGGCAAGGTTTGGGTTATTCATTATAGGTGATCTCACGATTCTGTGCAAACATGGAGCTGTCTGGTCGCGTTTCATTCATGAAGCTAGAAGCCAAACAGTGGTTGTCGTGCCGGAATACGTAAGATTAATGCTAAGTGGAAATACTCAGAGGGTAGATGGGGTTTTAACAGATTTTCAGGGCAGGATGCCAGTAGCTGAAGACCATTATGCAGAGGTAAAACACCCAGAAGGGGCTGATTTCCTGGACACTGCGATGAGAGGGTACGAGGTAAGAATGGAGGTAACGGTACCACCCCAGCCTTCTCCCCTAAAAGGGGTAGAGGCCCTTCAGATCTCATCACCCAATTTTCAGGCTGGTCCTTCTGGAATCTCTGGTCCTTCTGTGCCCTTAGGAAATGCGCCAACACAAATGCCTTCTGGCACCTCAGCACCATTTATTCCTCAATATGTCCAACCTCAATTTGGAATGGCACCAGCGATTCAACAGCTCCCTGGTCCATCTCATTTGCAGGGAGGTTTTCAAAATATATATGAGGGTAGGTGGGAAGGTCAACCGGTAGTAAGTCACCCACATCTAATCCAATACACTCCCATTCAATCTCAGATATGCCGTGGATGTACGAGCACAGTGCCTGGGCAGCACGCTGTCACATGCCAATTTGAATTGTGCCCAATGTGCCCAACAACTGAACCTCACATCCGAGCGAACTGTCCAAAGCGGCCTTGTGAGTTTTGTTACACGTTGGGACATAAATTTGAAGAGTGCCCGAAGCGAATGGAAAGTTGAAGAAAATAAATAAAATATTTTTTTAATTTTTAAAATTTTTTTCCACATAATGTATATACCCCAAGAGTAACGAGAGCGAAAAATTAGTAGGACTAAGAAAAATTCTACAAACGCGCGTGCGCTGCAAAAAAAAAAAAAAAAAAAATTTTTTTTGGGTGTAAAATAATGGCTTCCCGAACCCCTAAAAAAAATTGTAAATATTAATTGTGATATAATTTCCCTATAAAAATGAAAAGAAGAAAAAGAACTGAAGTCTAAAAGAAGCCTAAAGAAGTCTAATCACAAAGAAAAATAAAAATGAAAAACAACAAAATCTGAAAACAACAGCAAAACACTAAAAGAAAATGAATTATCAAAAATAGTCATCGTTAGAAAAAAAACATTATATTTCGGTGGAAGATCTCTAGAATAGAGAACCGAACTTCGTAAATCGTCACAGGAATCTTCAAAATTAAAAGCAACAAACATGAAATATAATTCAAAAACAATACATCAAAAAGAAAACAACAAAACATCAGTTGACAACAGACCGAGGACGGTCTACGCATAGGGAAGAGGCAGCTGTAGCGCAAAAAGAACAGAAACACTCAAATCCCGTCCTTTCGTGAAAAATGTTTTATGTTATAACAATTTTAAAAAGGGTTGTTGGTTTCACTAAATTCTTTGATTAACTGAAACTGAACCAACAACCCCCTCAGTGATTTAAAATATAACCCAAATGTTACACTCTCGTATCCAAAGAAAAATAAAAAAAAAAAATAATAAATGCCCAAGAAAAGATGTTCCAAAAAAAAGGAACCACAAAAAGAAGGCATATAATAGGACAAGAGAGAGTGAAGGGAAGCCATTAAACTTAAAAATTAGATCGAGGACGATCTACTGTTAGGGTGAAGTTGTAAGGCGGAGACTTAAATTGCAAATCCTAAAATGTAAAAGTCCCCGCCTATCAATTATCCTAGCATAAAAGCAAGCGATAAACAGTTATAGTCGATTCAGTTGGTAGGAATTAATTCACTTGGAATTCAGTCACTTCTCTTTTAGGATTTTAATCACGTGCAATCTTCCATGTAATCTTATAATAAATAAATAGAAAAGGGAAATACAAGCGCTTATAATATACATCACTGGTATCGGATATTGCTCTCGTTACTTATCATTTTCTTATTATTTGAATGTATTTATTATTTATTATCATGATTATCGCACTTATCTTATACTTTATATTATTCAATAAAATTCATATTTCTCTTCTAAGGTCCTTCTGGACCACAAATGAGAGTTTGAGAAAGAGAGTGAAGAGAGCGATAACGTGGACACAGAAATGACAGAAAAAGAATAAATACTCCACTGCGCTTGAGAAGGGACACCTCTATAGGGACTGGGACCAACACACTTTACTGTAAGAATAAAATAAAAATCAGAACAAACCTGAAATCATAAGAAAAATCAGAACTTGAACCATCAAAAAAGTGCACTTAACAGTTGATACTCAACTTGCCTCCAAACTTTATCTATTTTTTACCCAATTTTAGACGTGTCTATACTTTAATAGATTTTACCCTAATCTATCCTTTGGCGCATCTATCCTTTGATGCATCTATCCTTTAATCGTTTTTTGCCTTATCTATCCTTTAGCAGCTTTTGGCCGCGTCTATCCTTTGATCGATTTTAGCCGTATCTATCCTTTGATTCATCTATCCTTTGAGCGGGCACGAATTAATTTACCAATAAACACTCAAATAAGAAGCAACACACCCAATTGTTATAAAAGTGCCAGAGAAAAGGTATGAGTATAACAATAATCTACTCGAAACTAATTCTGTATTTCGATTGCGAGGAGGAACTTTCATAATATCTCTGTTTAAAGTTAAAGATGTAAAAAGAAAAAAACTTTTTTAAGAACCTTTCAGGACTTTCATAAGCCAACGAAATAGCCGGGGGAAGTTCACTAGCCAAATCAATACTTAAAATCTTTAAAATTAAAAAAATTACTAAAAACAAAACATTTATTGTTTATTGCCTGCAGCGGTTCTAATCCTAAAGGCATTCCCAAAGTAAAGTTCAAAATGATTGGACAAACTTCAGGCCAAAGGTGAGCCAATGTATAGGCAATAGAAAGTCCTATAAATTATTTTTATATATCCAGATACTCTTCAATTTAAGGCGTTATTTTAAATTTTGTTAGCCACTAGGTGAGGAAACTGTATACCAGGGGTGGGCTTAGTCTCGTATCTCGTGAAATCTCGTATTTCTTGAGAGATCTCGTATCTCGTTCTCGTATTTTTCTAAGAATCTTGTATCTCATGAATCTCGTGTCTCGTATTTTTTGGGACTCGGCCCACCCTTGCTGATACCCCCAAGTTTAAGGTAACAATCATTATAAGCCCCAAAGGGCTATCTTAAAAGTAAAATCCACCCAGAATCTTCATATTAATAATTAAATTATTATACTTAAATTGTCAAATAACAATCGGCCCTCTTCAATACCCTTCACAATCGAAGCAAAATTGTCGTCTGTTAAAACTCTTAAAAATAAACTTAATTATATACATAAAAATATTTATCAGAATATTTTTGACTAATTTTTTCACCAAAAATAATTATTTAGATAAATAAGTATTTATAGTATATACAGATTCATTTACCCACATGTCCGCAGCTCTTCTAGCAATATCACTTCCATTAACACCCATAGCTATTCCTATATTTGCCTTTAAAAATTTTCTTTAGAATTCACACAAAACTTGAGAAAGAACCTTTGCCAGCGCTGGGGCATCATTAACACCTCCACCGGTGACGGCAACTGTTTCTCCTCGCTTTTGGCACTGTTCCACAATTAAAAGTTTTTGTTCAGGTGTTGTTCTGAATTTTTAAAATAATTTTAAAAACTACTTAAAATTCTAAAAAAACCTCGCAAAAACAATATATTTGTGGGTTAATAATCGATCCCATTCTTCCACGCTCATTTCAGCCAGTGATTCGCCTAGAACAATTGCCCAGTCAATTTGGGGACTCGGATCGAGACTTAATTTTATTTGTTGATTACCTCGGGACCTAACCTATAAAATTAAATTTAAAGAAAAATTCTTCAAGTTTTTAGAAGAAAATACCTCATTTTTAGTCGTTGTTAACCCAATTTGAGAAGCAATTGCACTAGCTGCACTTGGATGATCGCCAGTAATCATAAAAACTTTAATGCCGGCATCTTTGCATTGTTGAATTGCGGCGGCCGTTTCGTTTCTTAAAGAAGATTTATCCCTTATATAATTTATCCAAAATAAAAACCTTGGTGGATCCATCATTGCAGCCATTCCAAGAAATGTCAGGCCATTTTTGGGATAGTTCTCCGACTGTGCAGAAAACTTTGTATTCCCTGGAGCTCTAAATTGACGATGAGCAAAAGCAAAAACTCGACGACCTTCCGAACCAAAATGATCCCAAGCAGCTTGGCAATCATGTCGAAATTGTTCATCAATTGGTTTGAGTTCGTTTGCCATTAAAACATCGGAACAAAGGCTGCAAACGAAAATATTTATGAAACATTTATTCCAATCATTTACCTCAATATCACTTCAGGCGCTCCTTTAATCATAACTGAAAAATCAGTTTCCGCACTTTGTGAGGGTGGAGAATGCTGGCTTTTATTCTCCCCATTTTCTGATGTTTCCGAATGTTCTGTAGTTGGTGATGGAGTCAAGAAACGACTGAATTGAGGTCTCTTTTCAGGCGTTCCAGCACTCACTCCGCTACTTAAAGTACTAACAAGACATTTAACCACAACTAATTGCCATCTCCTAACAGAATTGAATGGAATTTCCAACATTAACTTAACGGAAAAATAATTAATTGGAAAAGATTCCCCCTTCCATACCTTATATCTATTTCGAATTCCTTCCACACTAGCAACCATTTCCACATAACGAAGCAACGCAACCTTCAAAACTATGTGTAGATTAGAAAAATTATCAAAAAGCCTCCTACCTCAGAAGGCGAGCCAATCAAATCATTTGTACGTTTTCGAGCCTTTGGCCACCTTTCTGGGTCCTCTTCCATTCCCTCGCCCGTTAGAGTTGCCTCCATTTTACAAAGATCGTTTGTTGAAGGTACCCGAACAGATTCATGTCCAGTTTGGTCTCTTCAAAATTTTTATTTTTAAAAATTATTTTCAAAGAAACATACACAACACGAAATGTTTTAGTTTGGCGAGCAACAATTTTTTGTTCTCTCAATTCTTTTTCTAAAGCCATTTGTGTACATACACGACGCATAGAACGTCGTGTACGTTCAAAATGGGCCTAAAAAATTTTTTTTTAATTTTATTAAAACTATAAAAACTAACCTTATTGCACATACACATAACTGCCAATAATTCAGGTAAGGGCCTTTCCAATTCTTTTCGTTGAGCTGCATGTTTAAGCACTTTCATGTGGGTATGTTTCAATTCTCCGTGTACTTAAATGGAAATATTTGGGTGAGGGCTAAGTCAAGGAACAGACAAGTCAAGGATCATATTAACTCAAGGAATGACCAAATCATGGAATATTTTAAAAATCAGAATTTTTTAAATTCTGTTTTTTGAAGTATTCTAATTTTTTAATTCTTATTTCTTAAAAATATTCAGATTTTTCAAAAAATTCCGATTTTTTAAATATTCCATGAGTTGGTCGTTCCTTGACTTGTCTGTTCCTTAAGCCGACACGTAATATTTAATGGGGGAATATCTAAAAAATAATTTTACCTGAAAAATACCTTCGATTGTACCTTTAAATTGTTTGAAAAATTAAAAGGAACTAAATAAATTAGCGTAGCTCCGCGTCCCCCGTAACTTTTTGCCTTCCCCGGCAAACCCGATCCCCGGTACGTCTGACACCGAAGGCTCGGGGAGCTACCCTAAAATAAATAAAAAATCCACTAACCACATATCTGTAAGTATCATCAAATTTTGTGTTAATGTGCCAGTCTTGTCTGTAGCAATAACCGTTGCTGCCCCCAATTCATCAATTATATCCAATTTTTTAATAAACCTTTTTAAATATTTTAAATTTTTTAAAATTAATTTACACATTCTTTTTAGCCATTCTTCTAGCTATAATTGCCAATTGAGACATTAACATTGCTGGCAAGCCTTGGGGCACATTAGCTACACTTTTGGGGGGAATTTAGTGTAAATATTTAAAAAAACTAAAATTTACATTATAATAAGAAATCCGGTAACAAAATGGTAAAGAACATTATCAAATCTTTTTAAAAATAAAAAATTTCAAAAAAAAAATTTTTTTTCAATAAATACCTTGTAACAACGCAGCCAATTAAAAAGAAAATAACCCCCATTGAAAGAGCAATAATTGAAATAAACTGAAAAAAAAGTTTTAAATTTTAGTGAATAATATTTCCTATTTAACATAAAAATTCCTTTTTTTGGACTTTTCTTTCATTAATTTATTCTAACACGTTTCTGGTTAAATTAAATTTTATGCTGAAATGTGTTCTTATAACTTTCAATTTCATTTGAAAAATCTTGCAATAATTTTTCTTGGTTAGATTCAATGTTTTGAGTTTAAACTTATGTCAAAATATGAGCTTAATTTTAATTTAATAATCGAAAATTTAAAAAATACACTCGAAATATGAGCTTTATTTACTTATTATTAGTGATAGGGTTGTGGTCCCTGGAAATTCTTCGGATATCCGAAACCGAACCGAAAAATCCTCAATAGTTCAGTCCAGAATCGACAACCCTAATTAGTGAAGTAAAAGAAAATAATTTTAATTAAAACCTGAACAAATTTTGCAATTTCTTTTTGTAGTAAAGTTTCTGTCAATTTAACAGTCGATTGTAAATGTGTAAAATTACCCAACATCTAGAAAAAGATATTTTTTCATAAATAATTTCAAAAAACCGTATATTTCCCCGTTCTAATCACCAATCCAATAGCCTCCCCCTCCGTACAATAACAACCTCTAAGAATTACATTTCTTGCATCAAAAAGAGCAACATGTTTAGCCGCCGGTTCGTTTGTGTAATCAACGGCTTGGGGCTCTCCATTAATTGCTGATGATTCTATTTTGACTCCGTTTGATTGTAAAATTCTTTAAAAAAAGAAAAATAAGATTATAAAATGAAAATAAAACAAACCGGATATCAGCAGGGACTTGTTGACCAGATCTTAAAATTTTGTAAATTTAAATAAAATAATTTAAGAAAATAAAATATTTAAAATAGTCAGACCTCACTAAAAGATATAGACTTATGTAGAGCTAAAAAACTATAAAGTATAGTAAATAAATAATTGTTTTTTAAAAAGGGGTATCGCTTAGACAAGTCTCCCGGGCCATAACTATTTTAATTCTTAACCAAATTAAATAATTATTATATCAATCGAAAGCTCTGGATGTGTCGATTATTTTATCCAGCAGGATTGATTTGATCAAATCATCCTACAAAAAGTTATTTATGGATAAGTGAGCATAATCGTGTTTTTATGCTTACTTGGCAGTAACTTTTAGTTTGATCTGTTAGTTAGACTAGCCTATTTTCTGAAATTTTAAGAATAATAACGCGTAAAAAGTTTAAACATCTACCTAATTATAACAATATCCCCAACAACCAATTCATCTGAAGGAATTTGTTTTTCTTCGCAATCCCGAATAATAGAACAATTATGAGGCATATGTTGGGCAAAATCATAAACAACCCTCATTGCTTTCTTTTCTTGCCAAAAACTTAGAAAACTCATAATCAGAACAACAGCAATTAAAGTAAAGGCACAATAAAGATTTAGTAATTCTTCTGTTCCGTGATATAAATGAATAAACTGAAAATTGTGTAAAATTGAGAATTGGGGAAAAGTTAGGAAAGAGGAGGGGAAGATAAAAGCAAGCCCTGACACCAGCTGACACAATTCAGCAAAGTTTAGATGCTCTACAGAAGGTCAGATTTTGCGGAACCGAAAAGCCCGAACGTTGGTTCCGGATATCCAAAAATTTACCAGGAACCGCCAACCCTACTCCCTACAGATAACTGAGCTACCGAAGTGATTATTCCGCTTTCACTTACGAATTTTAATCCCTCATTTAGACGTCTTAAATGAAGAATTCCCCTTTTTTAATGAAAGAAAATATTAGAGACATACATAAGTAAATATTGTACAAAGTGCCGCTCCCATCAAGAGCAACCAAAATTTATATAGGAATTGTTTGGCAAATAATTTTAAATTAGAGATTCTTTTTGGCGGGGCTAAAACATTGGCACCTCCATCTTTTAATCGCTTCCTAAATTTTCAAATTTAAATTAAATTCTCTTAAAAATCTTTACTTAGCCTCTTCACTAGACAATCCATCACTTTTCTCAGGTGCATTCAAATCAATGAAAGAATCGGGATGAATGTCCCTCAATTCCTCTAATGTTAAATAATGCTCCACATATGACTAAAAATGGAAGGGAAAAATGTTTAAAAGGAAATTTCGGAGTTGGGATTGAATTGGGTAATTGATAGGGTTTCACCGGAAGTTCCGGTTCCGGAAAGTTCCGGTGTTTTTTGATTTCGGTTCCGGGAACCGGAACTCAAATAGGATCCGGTTCCGGTCAAAATTTCGGTTCCGGTGAAACCCTAGTAATTGATACACCTAAATTACCCTTAATTCTCTCTCTCCCTTTGAGAAATCTCGTGCCTTGTTTGAATATGCCACAGGGCAAATAAAGGAAGGAGAGGAAGAAGAAAATCTGACCATTATGTACAATATTAGGTAAGGGAAAAAGTGGGGGGGGGCGAGCTCGGAATTACCGAAATCTCTTCAAAAATAAATTTAATATTTATTTATCTACCAAAGAGCCATTAAAAATAAATTCTTGAGAATCAATCAATTCTTTATTTAATTCATCATAAATAATCATTATTTTATTTTTAAAAATTTTTTAAAAAAGCTAAGTAAATATTTGGAAAAATTTTTGAAAATGAAAATCACCGGACATAAAGCAACAGAAAAAAATCCTTTTATTATTTTTACGCTTTTGGTTGTCTCTTTTTCCCTCTTTTCTTATTTTTCTTCCAAGGTCATAAATTCTTATCTATATTTATTTTTATTTACGAGAAAAGGGGAACACTTATTCACCTCAAAATATTTTTTGGTCCTGTCATCTTTTAAATATAATCGGCGGTCTTTAAACCTTTCTAAAAATTATTTTAGAGGGATACATATAGCTATTTGTCCTTTAATTAAAACAAAAGGTTATTTTGGCGGGTGGAAGCTAACCAGCATCTTTAGTTGACCTGACAAAAGAGAGGCTTTTGGGTGTCGGTGGGACTTCGGGATGAAATTTGGTAAATGGGGGAGGGCTTATATATTTTACATTTTGCTAAAATGGAGAAAATTTCACAATAGAAGTAGGGTATGATCTACCTATTTACCGAATTTCATCCCGAAGTCTCACGGACATCCAAAAGCCTCTCCTTTGTGAGTTTAATCTCCCCAAAAATTTTCTTTCGAGAAAAATTAATCCCAAAAAAGTCTTTACCAAGCTCAGGCTATCTCTAAGTTTAGATTCTGCATTGCTTGTCCCCTCTTTAGCCGGCCACACTTTTTTGCGATTAAAACCAACACATTGGATAGTTTTAACCCCGCAATGGAGAGATTCGTCTCCTAAAAATTGAAAGGAAAATTTAAAAAAAATTTCTTAAACTTGTTGCAGATGTTGTTTTTTTGAGCATTTTTAGTGAAAAATATTAATTAAATAATAATTGTAGGGGCGAGAAAAAGTATAAAAGAATGATCGATTCCATGGAAGAAGACTAATAAATAGTAATAATTTAATTAAATTTTTTTTTCAAGAAAAAAGGAACGCGTGAATGTTGTTAGTAAGTATTGAAGGGAGTATTTAAGGGGGGACAGTTAAATTAAAAAGTAGTTGCGAATGTTGATCTAAAAAATAAATAAAAATAATCAAAAAAATTAATGAAAATTTAAAATCAAAAAACTACAAGAGAAATCGAGATGAATTGATTTTGAAAAGAAGATTGACATAAAAGGATACAAGAAGATTGATATAGAAAAGGAATCCTAAATAAATTTTGAAAGTTGGATCTAATCAGATTAAATAACTTTGTTAAGCTGTCCGAAATAGAGACAGGATTGAGACGAGATTTTCAAGACATCTTGTACCGATTCTCGTGCGATACTCCCAGTCCGGTCCATTGCTTGGAAGCTCGTACCAAAATTCGTACTTGTACTCGCACTCAGGTACGAAATACGAGTACGAGGCCAAAATTAGGGATGGTATGAAGTACGAGTACAAGCAAATACGAAATTTCCAAGCACTGGTCTTATCTCTAGTCTGAAAATACCAAAAAGAATTTTCTCTGATATTGTTAAAATTATCCATACTAGCCCTTTCAATAAAAGCTTCCCAAAAATCTCCTCCTCTCCCACCTACCCATCAAAATTCAAAATTTTTAAACTTCAATTTTGCCAATTTTTTGTTTTTGGATAGACTTTTTCAAGTCAATTCTCTAAATATATTTTTTTGTTTACAAAAACAAATCAGTTGACTAAATTAAATATGTAATCTCTCTCTCGTGATTAACCACAAAATTAAAAAAAATAATTCAAAATAAAAAAAATTATTTTTCTGATCAATTGCGAGAATTAAAAAAACCATAAAAATTGAAAAGAATTAAACGCGCGAGAATTATATTTAAAGGGGGGGGGGGGTATTTCTTTTCTCTTTTCTTTCCCCTTCCTCCCCTAAAATCTTTTCGTATTAAAATACTTTTTAACAACCAAACCATTTTCTTTTATAAAAAGAAAAAAATTTTTTTCTCGTTTCGCTACCAATTTTTATTACAAATAAATTTCAGAAAAATGTTTTAAAATCGAAAAAAGAATATTTAATAAATAAATATTTTAAAGGAGGACAATAAATAAATAGAAGAGAGGGGGAGAAAGAAATAAAAATCAAACAAAAAAATTCAAGAAAATCGAAAATTTTATTTAATAAAAATCTAAAATTTCTTCTTAGCCCTTTTCTTTGACATTTTAATGTTTCCATTTCTTTTATTTAAATGTTGAAAGTGAAAAAAGAAAATTTTTTTTTTAATATCAAGAATTATTTAAAAATGAATTGGTAATAGATTGGAATTCGCCCTCCCCCTTTTTTCAGTTTCCCTGACCATTTTGAGCTTTTTTTGTTTGGTATATAATTTATATATCATTCGAAAGCGTTCTTCGAGCTTGGTCGAATGATACCAAGATATGCTAGATCTGATCATTACTACCAAGAAACTAAATCCTCGTTGGGTAAACTATTTGTGCCAATGCAAGGAAATATTTTGTTAATTTTAAATTCAATAACCCTTTTCTTTGACTTTTTAATGTTTCCAATTTTATTTCTTTAAATTTAAATGTGAAAAATCAAAAAAAGAGAAAATTTTAAAATATCAAGAATTATTTAAATAAATAAATTTAAGTGAAAGAAAGAGAAAGAAAAAATATTATTTTTAAGTAGGCACTTTTTAAATTAATATTAAATACAATTAATGGCAGTCTAAAGAAGGTTGAGGTCATCATAAATAAATATTAATTTGCCCGATTTTTAATTTTTTTCTCAAATTTTATTTTCTAAATTTCAATTAAAAATCGGTACATAAATGTGGTATTTTTACAAAATTCTGAAAATAAATTTAAATTACAATAATTTTACATCAAAAATTAATAGGTTTTAGAATTAAAGTTAATCAAAAAGAGAGAGACAGTTATATGTTGGGGGAAGAAAAATAGTTTTTTTGTTGGAATTAATTGGAAATTGGTACAAAAAATAAATATTCTCAATACATTTTAAATGGGGACAGCCCAAAACAATGCACGGCCAAAACAACCCAAAGCCATAACTTGCTGGAAAATTCCTGGCCCTTATCAACTTTTGTACCAACCTCTGCAGCTCGATGAGAAGAATTTGTTGAGATTAGGAAATCCCGAAGCAAGTTATGGCTTCCGGCCGCGCTTTGTTTTGGGCGTGTTCCATTTAGAATGTTTTCTCTTTTCTTAAAAATTAATATTCTAAATTAATCCAAAACTTCCAATTCCTCCAAAAAATTCCAAAAAAAATTTTAAACATGCAAAATATTTAATATACTTTATTTGGAGTTAAACAGATTTTCTGTTGCTGTATTGGTAATTCATCTCCCTCAATTTCTTCTTCCTCATCAGAATATTCTTGGTTTTTAAAAGGCGACAGAACATAACAAAATAATTCCCCCAAAACAATACGTGCTTTAACTTCTTTTGAAGAAGATTCCAAATTTTGAATTTCTTTCGTTAAATTTTGTTTCGTTTGAGTAATTGGAAATAAACATCTTGAGGAGGCTAATTTGGCTAAAATTGAAAAATAAAATTCCCCAAATTTATTTTAAAAACCTTTGTGATCCCGAAAATTTTGGCGTTCTGCCCACCAACAATAAAGACTCTCCAAACTTTCAGCTTCATCATTTTTAGGCTGGCTTTAAGAAAATTGAGAATACTAAATCTTTATTTTTAAATAGTTCTAAATTTACGAGAGAGAGACACCCTTAAAGTTAAAACATGTTGTCTCATAACGAGGCTATCCTAAAGAGGGGGTATCGCTTAAGCATTTCCTAAACAGATTCGCTAAAAATAGGTCAGCAAAATTTAAAAAAATGTATCTTAAATTAAGGATTATCCAGTAGAGATCGAGCTGGACCTGGACCAAGGCCTGAGTTTTTCCTGTACCCAGAGTCCAGGCTCAGACATTTTTTGACCTTCCTGAGCCTTGGCTTTTCCTGAAATACAGGCTCAGAATCCGAGCAAGGTCAATAAATCAAACCCGGAACCCAGGAACAGGCCCAGACTTTTCAAAAATACCGATCTCTAGTAACCCGCCTGTGATTATCCAAAAATTCTGTCAAAATTTGCCCAAAATTAAAAAAGATAACCAAAAACTCACTCCTCTCCTCCTTCCTTGCCACCAAAATTTTCATTTTCTCCACAATTTTTTTCAATTTTCTCTTCAATTTCAAAACGTCCTCTTTTAACTTTAAAATTTTCTTCTTCCAAATATTCATTGTTGCCAGATATTTTGTTAATTTTCAAAAACTTTTTACTATCCAATTCTTCACATTGTCCATTAATTAAAGAATTAATTGAAGGATTAATAAACTTAGAAAGAGGTAAATCACAAATATTTTCTTTGTTCCAATTAGCTGGATTTAAATCTATCATTTTTAGGGGGTTTAAAAGGCTTTAAAGCTGAAAAATAAATAAAAATATTTAAAAAAAATTTGTTGACCTTGTTCTTTTTTTAAATGTTTTTTTCAACAAAAAAAGAACAAAAAAAAGTCTGGATGAACGAAAAAAATATTTGGGAAGAAAAATAGCTTTGGGAAAGGATAGAAAATCTAAAGCAAAAGATGTCCTACTAGAAGAACCTTTGCGCAAACTGAAAGAAAAAGAAAATTTGAACTAAGAAAATTCAAAAAAAGGAAACATCTGTGGACATTTATGGAAGGAATTTTTAGAGTTCCGCTCTATTTTTTTGGCATTTTTATTGGAATAAATGAATGAAGGACAACAACACTACCGAATTTTTAAATGAAGGAATTGGGAAGCGATTGGGCGGTCGTTTTCCCGTTATGGCTTTCTCATCATCATCCATTTTTGCAAACAAAAGCAGATGACCAGTACCTTTTTTTCTTCTTTTCCTCCTCCGGAAAGGTTGAAGATGGAAATGAGGAAAGGGAAGGGAGAGGAGGAGGAAAATTTGGGCGGGCAGATAAGTAAATGGGTAGGGGGCTATTTCAGTATTGTCAAAAAATTTTGAAATTTATTGGGGGGGGGGGGGGGAGGTTACAACCAAAAAAAAGTTTAACAAAATTGCACTAATTGTAAAAAAAGATTTTAAACCCCACCCTCACCCGATTCAAATAAAAAGTTTAAATCTTTATTGACGGTTTACCAAGACAGTCAGTTTGAATTGGCGTCATTTACTCTCCATCAATCTTACCCTTAGACAGGCACGAAAGGAAGAAAATATTAATTATATAGAGTTGAGTAGATAATGTAATATTAAATAGATTTTTTTGATTTGGTTTAAATATTGTTTTTTGATTTTTGGTTGAAAATTTAGATAAGGGACAGAACATAGAGTTATCTCATGCGGGAAGGATATCCAAAAGTTCGCATTTAGATATTTTTGTATTGTCAGATTGCGGATACGTAAAATTTTATTCAGATTGCAGACCAGCGATCCTGGCGACCCGAATCCCCGAAATCAGGAATTCCCGACGTTTTTTGGCCCGGGAATTCCTGATTCCCGATTTCGTGAAATTTATTTTTGTTGAGAATCCCGATTTGCCGAAATCGGGAATTTTGTTTTTTTCTCGGCAGGATCCCTGCAGACAACCCTGCTTGTCGGACTTTGAATGGAAATTTTAATGAAAATAAAAAAGAATTGACAAGACAAAGAGATGGATTTAAACGGCAAAAAGTATAAAAGTTATTTTCGAGTGGAGTTAATCAAAGGTTGACAAAGAAGATTGTCAAAAAATGATTTAAAACCCTTTTTATAATAACAAGGCTCAAGTGACAAAAAAGTTTTCCTCTTTTTTATGACCCCATTCATTCATTTTTCACGGGTTGGTGTAAGATAGGACGATTCCTTATTTTTTTATCGGCGACTTTTTAACTTTTACCGCCATTCCTTTTAGTCTAGTAGTTCAAAAAGCAACTCATTTTAAACAAAAAAGGTCGTTGGTATTTCGCGTCATCGGCGGCCAACAAACAAACACTGACTGGATTGGGAAAACTTCCGTATCAAGCAGTGAAAATAACAAGGATGGACATATTTTTGACCACGTTTTTATTGAAAGAAATGGGCGCGCTTTGAGGACATAAAATGATATAAAAAAGGATGGGGGAAGAGAAAAGGGTGAAAATAGAAAATTTTATTAGGGCCTCTTAAAAGAGAATTACAAATGCTTTTGTAAAAATAAACTAAATTGGGATTTTGGATTGTAAAAATAAAGTTGGAAATTAAAATTTATATTTTTGTTGGACTTTAAATCCTAAAATTTAATTACTGTAATTTTTGCCTTTTTGGCATTATGTAAATTTTGGACACGACCAAATCGGCGCGAGGTCATGACGGCGCAAAGCCATAACTCACTTCAAGATAACCTAATCTTAACAGATTTAGTATTAAACGATTCCTCTCATCGAGCTAAAGAGATTGGTACCAAAATTGATAAGGTTCAGATATTTTCCAGTTAGTTCTGGCTTTGCGCCGTTATGGCCGCGCGCCTTATTGGGCTGTACCCTGCAAATATTTTAAACTTTTTTTTGAAAATTGTTTCATAGTTCGGTGAAATAAATTAAAGTTGCAGTTTGGCTTTTACCTGAAAGTTGATTCTATCTCCAATAAATAGCCCTATTTTTAAATTGTTTCAGATCTTAACAAAATAATTAGTATTTAGAGATGTCAACCCCAATGCTTTCATCAAAATTAATTCGGCGCTTAATTTTAGTAACTTTAATTACTTTATTGTATATTTGTGCTAGAACATATAAAGGTAAAAATAATTGTTTAATATTTTAAATTAATTCTAATTAATTTAGAATATAGAAATATAATTTCTTCGAGGGATGAAACTACGGCAGTTACAGTTAATTAATTATTTATTTTTTCTAAAAGAATTTCTTCGTTTAAATTTTTAAGATTATTCAACCTGGGAAAGAAGCAGAATTTATTAAATTGCAAAAAATAATTAAAGACGAAATTCGAGCAATGCAAACGGTGGAGAGGATTAGGTCAGAACGGGTAAGTAATTTTTTTCAACGAAGGAATCATTTAAATTTTACTTTTAGTAGATACACCCAAGCTCATAAAATAACCATTTTTATGTTGGGGTTGGACATTGGAAATCGTACACCTCATTATAAGGGTGTAATCAAGGGGGCTATTTCAGAGGTGTAAAATGGGGGCGTGCGCCTCAATTTCGGCGTTTACATTGGAGTTTAAACGCAAATTTTATTGTACACATATTTTTATTTTTGCAGCGCCGCAGGCGAAAATTTTGAAAATTCTCAAGGTCGTAATCGAAAAACTTTTTTATTTTTCCTATCATCTTTCTCCCAATATTTTTCCCTTTCTCCATCTTAGAGGGGGGGGGGCTATAGCCCCTGGCTACGCATTTCCCTCATTATAAGACTATTTTTCGCCCTAAAAGGGTGTCTAGAAATCAGATTCGACTTTATTTAAACAAATTTTTCATTCCAGTTAATTTCTTCATTAATTGGCATGTTAAACAAACAAAAATCGTTGGAAGAAGAAAAAACGACTCAAACCGATCCAGGCTCTCAAAAGGCAATATTTAGATTACAAATGAATTTGTCTAGATTATTTGATTTCTTTTAATTTATTTTTCATTTTATTAATATTTTATTTAATTAAAAATTATTTAAAACTACAATTATACAATAGACGTTTTGAACGAAATTTATTTGTCATTTTAATTTTGTGATTTTTATGTTCTTTCAAAATTCTCTTTCTCATGTAGTAAAAGACCTAAGTTTTTTAAAAAGAAAATGCGGAAGCTGACCGGTTGATCACATTAAAAGTTACTGCCAGATACATAAGTGCATGCTTTGATTGTAACTTTTGCATGAGGGATTAGATTAATCCCTTTAGTAATCCTTGTATTCATCTTAACTCGATATGAATATAATAAGGTTATCGGATAGTTGGAAATCTTCGGATATCCGAAACGAAAATTTCCGTATATCCGGTCTTTTTTCGGATCCAGATCTGACAACATTAACATAAGAATCATTTCAAAAGAATTTGTACATAGTATCTTAAAATAAGGTCAGACTCTAGTCTCTTTTACTCAAGAAAGCGAGAGACAACAAAGAAAGATTGACTGAAAATCTAAACTTTTGGTGTCCTTGTTAATTAAAATTTTAGATAAAATTTATTTTTAAAAATGTCAAAGCCGCATCCGACCGATATAATTCTTCCTGAACCAATCCAGGTTTCTCCGTTAATTCGTTTTGCTCGTTGGACTGCTCTTGGCGCTGGAATAATGTAATTTGTGTTTTTATTAATTTGTTAATCAAGGTTTAATTAGCTAAATATTTTAATTTTTAAGTTTGGACTTGTAGAAAGTTATGGGAATTTTAAGCTTTATAGGGACTTTTCATTTATTCCCTATTTATTCCCCATTTATTCCCCCCAAGAACTGATGGTTCGACTTGTTCGAATTCGTTTCCAGGGTCCGAAATAAGCAAATTCTAAGCCCAGATTCTGACTCAGCACACCCGATTACCTACTGGCAAGCCTCAAAAATATCAAAAAGCATTTTTTTCTCATTTTTTTCGGGACCAGTAATCTCCACATTTACCAGAAAATGAGTCCCTAAATTGAAAATTCCCGTTTTTCTACTCAATCCTTTTCAATATTCAATAAAAACAAAAGACTATAGAAAATCTTTGTTATTTTTAGTTATGGCTATGTTCGTTTCCATCAAATTGCTCGTGGTCATGCACTTATTCGTGAATGGGAGGCTGAGAAACTTATCCATAAAGTTGAACAGGAGCACGAGAAAGCTAAATTAAATCAAAGGAAGGAGTCTGAATTTATCATGCAGGTTAATTGGAAATATTTTTTATTTTTAACATTTTGGGAAATCCTCCTTATTTTCTGCTATTTTTCTCTGAAAGCTAAATCAATTAGTAAAAATAGTTTCTATTAGGATAATTGTTCGTCTTCCATTTATGGCATTCAACTGAAGTTTTTTGAAGATTTGGATTTTTTTTAGTTATTCCATACTAAAATGAGAATGTAAATCAGGGCTGTACGCAATTTCGGATTGCGTGTTTTTTTTTAACTTGCGGATTGCGTCTGCGGATTTTAAAATAAAAATTGCGGCTGCGGAAAATTTTTTTTTCAATTGCGTCCAGCCCTGATGTAAATTTTCTTATTTTTACCTCAAAATTAATTTTTGATTGATTTAGTTTTCAGAAGTAAAATAGTCGAGAATATCGAAGAAATTGAAAGGAGGTCATTAAGGTTTCAAAATTCTCGTATAGCGCTTAGGGAATTGGTTTCCCCTTTTGGTTTTCCCAAATTCTATCTGAAGAATTAGCCAGAAATTACTAAATTTTCTTTTTATGCCTAAATTTCCGGGCAAGAAATTTAAAAAATTTTTTCAATTTTTTATTACTATTTTTACTTAAATTAGATATCAGGTTTTCTATTTCACTTATTTTTATTTAATTCCTTTAAAAATTTCTAATTTGTTAGGTGACTGGTTCTAATATCGATGAGGGCAAGGCAAGTATGGATGTTGAGCATCTCTATCTGAAGTTGTAGAGGAATATTCGAGGATAGACAAAAGTATATTTCAAGTTAATTTTTGTTGTTTTTTGTGTGAATTAATTAGACAAAATTAAAGAAAAATAGGATTTTAAAAATTTTTGAAGGGGAAATGTCCAAAAAATTATAAGGCCACCTATTTTCTCGTACTGCTCATACTTCTTTTTTAATATTAAATGTAGTTAATTAGAATTTTGAAAGTTTCAGAGTTTTTTGAAGCTTTTCTTAGTTAAAAAACACTCAAAAATGTGTTCGTTTAATTAAACAAATTAATTTCAGGAACTTTCTTCAAATTAATTTTTTTAAAAATATTAGGTGAAATTCAAAAATCGTAGGGGTGGGGGTTATACAAAAGGTTTGTTACACACTTTATTCCTCAATAAATTAACAACCAAAATAGGAAAATATTTACATATTCATTTAATTTTTTCAAATTTAAAATATTTAATAAAAATTCCCTATACTTTATCTTCGGCGTTATGACTTTATCTCTTCCTTTTGCTTGAATCAATTTTTTAAATGTTTTTCCATATTTAAAACCAAAATTTAGTGAGTGAGTTAAAAGTTTAGACCTGATAGGCCTGTAGCCTCACGGCAGGTTACTAGGCGCTTTCGCTTTCCAAGTATTAAGGAATCAAAGCATTCTTATTGTTAGAGTTGAATCAAAAATCCCCCGATATCCTTCTATTCCTCCATATACTCCGTTACTTTCCTATCGCTTCAAATCCACCGATACCTCCTCAAACCCTTTCGATCCCTAGATATACCAAAATTCCTCAATATTTCCTTTGTTGTAAATCGAGTTCGGACGGTAGCGTACTATCGACGGTACCTTATAACCGAAAAGAATACATTAGAGATTACAAAATAATCATTCTATTTTTTATAACAAAAAGGACCAATAATATAATTTTTAAAAATTAAATCCAAAATTTAAACAACATTAGATCCTCCTCTTTTTCGTTGTTCCTCTGAAGAATAACAATACTTAAAATTTAATATTTTTAAACAAAAGGAGTAAAAAATACAAACCAGTTCACATTCTTGTTTGGTACGAGGTGAACGCCACAAATTAAAATCAAGTTCAGAACAATAAGGGAAAATATAAGGCTAATTTAAAATAAATGTTTAAATGAAATAATGTTACTGTGAAATACCTCACACTGATCGGTATTTGTGAATCGGTTTACCTAAAATAAAAAAGAACTTATTTAAAAATTATTGAATCCCGGATGCCCTAGTATTGTTAGATTCAGCTCGTCTGAGCGTATTGAACCAACTTATCAAATGACGGCTCAGTATCCGGGGTTTTTTACAATTACCCAGTCCAGGGGCCTATTCCACGAAGCGACATTGACATCAAATGTCGCAACATTTGGCAATCGCTTGACACTCCGATTGCGATTGCGTTCCACAAAGCGACTTTAAAATTCAATATCGTTTGGTGGAATTGGCCCCAGGGTGTTCCGGTTTAATGTCAAATCATCAAGGCGTGTCCAATCATACGAGGGCGTCCCGGATTCGATAATTTTGAACGAAGTTATAGCTTGGCAGTACATTGGCAAGCCCCCTTGGAAACGATCTCAGACCTTTTAATAAAGCCAAAAAAATTTTTTTTAAATATTTTTCTTAAATTAATGATTATTTTGATAAAATTTAAGTCCGATTGTATAATTAAATATTTAACTATACCCTTCTAAACCAGCGATGAACTTTTTGCGCTGGATCACGTGTGTTCACCGTTACATTAGGGCAACCGTTAACAATCAGATCGTGCCAAAGAACAAAAGGCATTGGGTCACAACCTCGGGCTGGAGATCCAATAGGGCAAGCACAGAGCTAATTAATTTTTTATTTAAGGGGGTTTTGAAGTTTTTTGTTTTAATTACTCAAAATTAAGGCGGTAAGATTAGTGTAAATTTATTTTAAAAATAACATTTCAATTAATCCGGAAATTAATTTAATAATTTAAGGAAATAAGATATTCTCGATTTAAGAAAAAAATATTTACAATACTTGCCGAGTCAAATTCTCTTTGGAATTTTCTTCGGGAAAATATTCATAATTTGCAAACTTGATAAAAAATATTGAAATCTAATGCGAAAGTATTTTCGAAAAAAATATTATCAAAATTAAATATATAGGGAACTTATTAATATCCTTGGTGTTAAAAACCTCTATATATAAAATAAGGAATGGAACTCTCTAATAATTTACTTGACATCCATTTCGTTCAGTGACGACAGCGCAATCCAATCCTTTATTTTATTATCAATTTATTATTCAATTTAATTTACCAGTACAAAGCATGGGTGGGCAATTCTCAACAATTAGCCTTCCAAGATCAGCAATAATTTGATCCTGCCCTAATATATGAGGGAAAGAATGGGGAAATTAGAAAAATTAATTTTCTAAAAATTTTTCACAAACTTTGAGCATTCAAAGCCTGATAAATAACAAAAAGAGTAAAGGAAACAGATAAAATATTTATTAAATTATTCATTTAATATCTCAATTAATTTATAAATTTATTTAATTAAAAATTCTTTTATTGGATAGAAAAGCTGAGCGGAAGAGGAAAATGTTGTTAGCGATCGTTTGGGTTGTGGATGGATAAAAAAGAATGATAGTTGTGGTGTTGGGGGAAGGAAAAAGCTGGTAGGTAAAAAAGGGGAAGAGCTGCTTTTGGAAAAAATAAATTGTCGGTACTAAAACAATTTGTGTGTGTGTGTGTGATTGCGGATCCTAAAAAATATGGATTGTTGTTAGGAATAAGGGAAAGTGAAAAATAATTAAAGTTAGAAAGGTTTTTCATTCTTGAGTACAATTCAAGTATACAAATTTGGGCTCTATCCGAAAACAGTGCCGGCATCAAATTTTTCCTTTCCTCCTCGAATGGGAAAGGAAAAGTTGATTTTTAGGCTGTAGTATACCGGTTGATTTTTAGATTATAGTATACCGGTGGTAAACTTTGTCCAAACTTATTCAATCACAGTGATTTTGGTGTCAATCTCAGTTCGAGGAGCTCTTTCGAAAGAGATATTTAAAAAATTGAATTTTTCACTCCAAAATTAAGCCAACTCCACAGATGGTTTTTCAATTTTCGGGACCTATGTATATCTCGGTCCACAGGCATCTCCGGAAAAAAGAGTTGTACGTTCGACTCAGCTCGCGAGACGAGACTACATCCTAAAAATTAACTTTTTCTGTCCCATTCGAGGAGGAAAGGAAAAATTGGATGCCTGCACTGTTTTCGGATAGAACCCAAATTTGTATACAAATAATTATTACAATTTTAAGAATAATTGACGAATTAAGGAAAGTAATTAAAATAGTAAGAGTGTTTAACCAACAGATTTAACCACGATTTTTTGTACGGCCCTGCCCAAATGAATATGTATTATAGGCTTCAGGAGTGGCACTTCGTTCAACTAGGAGATCGACTATAATTTTTCGATTCTGTTAGTCAAATAAGCTATAGTCTACCGAAATTTTTCCCTAAAAACCGATATACTGAATCGGCGGTACGAAATCATCCCTTACACAATTTATATAGTACTAGAATTAAAATTTAAAAATAAATCGGCAGGTAATTTAAACTGCTAGAAAATGTAAAAGTAAATAAATAAAGCAACAAATTTTAATTTATATTCAATGAAAATCAAATATTTTTTCAAAAAATATGTTTCAATTAGGGCAGCACCCCGACCACGTACCCTGATCCAACCCCCGACGAATTTTAGAAAAAACCTCGACCCGAATCCCTAAGACTCTATCCCGACAAACCCGATCCCCGACGCCCACCCCCCGAATGCTCGGGGTGCTACCTAGTTCTCTAATTTGAAAAATCGTATAAGGCTATCGCAACTTTTATCTTCCCCTTTAGTGATATAAATATTGTGACTGCACATTTGGTCCTTATTGAAAAATGAAAATTTCACTTCTGGATTATAAATATTGACAATTTGGTATTTTGCATATTTTGTAAAAAAAATTTCTCCAGTTTTAATATTTTTTGCTTTCTCGGATATTGGCAAATCTCTGTATGAATTATAAGCTAAGCGAGTACTAGTCACCATTTTTGAGAAATCCTTAGATGTTGTTATATACTAAAATTTAGATTTATTCTCTAAAAATATAGATAACACTTACTTCAACAAGAAGATCATAAAGGCTTGGGAACTTATAAAAACCAAAAGAAACTTCCGGTAATTTATTGCCTTCATTTATTATAATGTTGAATAAAATATTAGTATAATTTTCAATTTTGTCCGGATCAAATCTGATCCCAAGATGTACATAAATTGTAGAATAATTTAAAGCGAAATTCAAAATATTTTCAATTTCAATATTGTTATTTAGATTTATAAGGAGTTCTTTAACGTGAAATTGTTTAAGAATTGTTTTGTCGTTATCAAATAATAAATTGATCATTTCCGGATTAAATATAACATTTTGAAACTCAGCATATTCAAAAACACAGTTGAAAAGTTGTTGTAACCAAAACCGAACAGCAATCATTTCTTTTATAGTTTTTAGGATGTTTGGCAATTTATATATATAATACTTGTAGCTCCTGTTCACTACAAATAAATTGATATTTTATCCACGATCCTAACGAGTATCGTTATGTTAGTGAGCGGTTGCAGACCCCTCCATCGCAGGTACCTAACCCAAACAAGTATGTGCTAAAAGCAGCATTAAAAGCAAGGAAACCCAAGAAAAAACAAAAGGACATTAAAAGTACCCCTCTCCCCACCCCAGTGAAAAACTAAGGAAAGAATGGCACTACATATTACCACCGACTTTAAAGACAAGCTTTCTTGTGAACTTCATATGGACCTTCCATTAGCATTCAACCAGTTATGAATAGAATCTTAACAGGTTAATGCCAAAAGAAACAAAAAAAACAAATAAGGGCCCGCTTCCTTACAAGTGCCCACTACTATTTCATATAACAATATTTTTATACCTTCTTTCTCTAAAGAAACAACAAAGTTTGTATTAACTTCAGAATTATGTAAAAACAACGGAATAGATTTATCTAACGCTGTTTTCCACTGAAAAAATAATGCAATTATATCAGAATTATTAATAAAATTTAACCTTCTCCATAATCAGATCATTCAAAACAAATTCAGAAATTACAGGTCCAAGTTTAATGATTACATCTTCAATATATGAGTTGTTGGGACCGATCTAAAATCAATTTTTAACTCAAAAAATTATTTAAAATTTACAAGTCTATAGAATTTCATTCTTGCCAATCCTCCCTCATATTTATTAATCAAGTTCCGAAAATAAAAGTTGGCTTGTTTAAGAGAGAATAATTGCTCAAAATTAAGACATTTTAGAACATCAAGTTGAACTTCAGGTGGAAGAGAAAGCATGTTGAAATTATAAACAATAAAGAAAAATTCTAGAATTAAAGTTTAAAAATTTTTAAAAATAAATTGGCAGCTTTTAAACTGCTAAAAGTGATGAAAATAAATAAAACAAAAAAGCTTTTATAGTAAACTATAGTCAAGAAAATATGGTATGGTATTTTATTTGCCTTTGATAATCAACGGTTGCTGGGTTCTACAACAGTAACATGAACCTATCTTTTTCCATTTTCAGCCTTGATCTGCCGACCTACCCCCGTAGCTCAGAAAAATCTGATTTGACTCATAAACTGCTGTTATAAAATTACACCAAAATTTTTTAAAAATGATGAATTATCAAAAAATATTTTTAATTTGATAAAATTTCAACAAATATAGTAAAGTATAAATTTAAAAATTTGAAGAAAAAAAAGCGAATTAAAGATTTTTTAAATAAATTTTTTCTTTAAATTCTTTTTCGTATAGGTACATTAATAAAAATTAAAATGAATTAGAAAAAATATAATTTCATAAAGGAATTACATATTTAAAGCTAAATTACAAAAATACAAATTCTTTTTTTTTTTTTAACAAAAATGTGACTTTATATTTTTTTCCCTTTTTTCCACTTTATATTTACATATTTTTTAGTGATTAAATCATTATTTTTAGTAAAACAAATGTGTAAAATTATAAAAAAATGGAGATAAAAGAATTAAAAAAATAAAAAGTTCAAATTAAGCTAAACAAAATTAACAAATGCGGATTTAAAAATTATAAGGATTTTTTATATTTTCTTATAGTTTTTAGAACAAAATGTTGTCATTTTTTTCTCTTATGGCCTTCCAAAATTCCCAGAGAATGATATTTTAGCTTAAAATTGCGGAATTTAAAAAATTCGAAATAAAAGCCCTGACTAAAATTAATCAATAAATTTATTAAAAATTTAAAAATTAATTTTATTACTCTTATACCTATAAAAAAGACAAATTTCCATTTTAAAAACTATTATCGGCCGGCCGAAGGCCGGACGCTCGACAGAAGCGTGACATCTTGGGGGGTACTTTTTACGGCGCATTCAGGAAAAATACGAACTCGGCGCCACGACTTTTCCTTTGCGCCGAAACGACCCCATGGATTTTGCTATCTCGTGAACTAAAAGTCGGAGCGGAAAGGTCCCGCTGGGAGGCACGCGCCCCACTATTAGTGGATATTAATGAAAAAAAAAATTTTGAAATTCGGTGAAGTCTAAATGTCGAAGTGCCGTGTTAACCGTTTTTAAATGTTGGCAAAATGTGGTGCCATTGGAGGTTGGCAAAATGTGGAGGTGCGAGATCTCGGGAACGGCTGGGCGGATTAAGATGGGACCTGGGGGTTTATAGTTAAACGGCTATGAGAAATTTTTTGGGCATGGCCATTTTGGTGCCGCACTTGAGTGTGGCACCGAAACGGCCGGATGAAAAATTCAAAGTGTTATAACTCTTTTTTGAGAAGTTGGGGGTTCTTGGGCCTGGGAGTGATGTTGGAGGGTA